ACAACTTAGAGGAGTGAGTTCACCCCCACGTTTCTGTAAAGCCCCATCTAATCTAAGCACAGCTCATAAATACCATTTATACAATTGCAGTGTTTAAGGAACAAAGGCATAAAACGGGCTCTCCCACTCCTTGCCAGGTGCTGCACAAAGTACTTAGAGAGTACCTACTTTCCAGGTGGGAGTCCTAGTTCAGGACAAAGTCTGTTCAGATAGATAAGAGAGGTAAGCACTGAAGTGACTCACTTGATCCCCGTAAGCATGACGACCAATGACGATGGGTTTCACCCATCCAGACACCAATCGGGGGATGTTCTTGCAGATAATAGCCTCCCTGAAGACTGTTCCACCTAGGATGTTTCTAATGGTCCCGTTAGGAGACTTCCACATCTGCTTCAACTTGAACTCTTCTACTCTTTTCTCATCAGGAGTGATGGTGGCACACTTGATGCCAACATGATATTTCTTTATGGCTTCAGCAGCTTCCACGGTCACTTTATCATCTGTAGCATCACGATGCTCAATGCCCAAGTCATAGCTGTAACAAAACCACAAACAGTCAGAATTGCCCAGGGCACTGGTTCACATCCAATAGGAAAGAAACCAGAGCCCATAATTCCAGCACTCTGCCATAACTGAAGTTATTCCTCTCCTACTCCAGCAGCATCCTCACTAAGAGAACACACGGGCTCATATACTGATATTTCAACAGTCATTTCAACAGTGGGAAGGTACCCAAAGCACAGCTTCAGTTTATGGCTGAGCCTATCTTCCAGCACAGGACACAGCCTGCATCTTTGCTTTCTCTTTTGATTTTCCTGGCAATGGAACTTTCTGCCTGGTTTTCTCACGGTATGGAACAGCACAATCCCCAAGTGAATATGGGCCTTTATTTTAAGTCTCTTGAACTGAGGGTTTCTGCTTCCTTACTTTACTGAAGCACACAAAGCAACACCAGGCTTCAAATTGAAAACTGCTTTGCCAATGATTCACAATCCTGCTCTGGCAGCACAACTTTCAATAGTCTCCCTCAAGCACTCAAGAGGAAGCACGTTTCCTACACTCACTGTTTTAACAGCTTTCTGAGACTGCCCAGCGTGGGACAGCCCTGAAGCACAGCCAGCTCTGCATGAATCTAGCCATTGTGCTGGCTCAGCTAGGGGTCTGCATCGTCTCCTCCTACCCTTCTTTGAAAATACATGTCCTCCAGACTGCGCATATATATTGTGCTGCTGAGTTCCTGTTTGTCTGCGTCTCAACAGTAGCAAGGAGAAAGCATGATGTAGGTGGCATACAAATAACTTCAAGAGCAGGGTACAAGGTCAGACTTGTGGGTTTAATAATGGCAGCTACCACTGAAGTCCCCTTTCCACACAGACGAGAGCAACACTGCTGGATATTTATGTAATAATTAAAGCTTACTGGCTAGAAAGGAAAGGAACTGTTTGTTCTGCTTGACCAGATGCTATATACAGCACGTTCCTTTTGCCATACCAGCTACTAGTATTTGCTTTTCCCAGAAGGGAGCGTAGAGCACAGCCTAGACTCAGAGAACGGTTGCAACAGTTAGCTTACACTGCCAGCAGCACAGGTCAAGCTTTGAGGAAATATGTCAGAGTTTGTGCCCTACAACCACACGTTCACCTTCTGGGCAGGTCTTCAGAGATGGAAAGCAGCTCTAGACCTGCTCAGAGTTCACAGGTGCTAGGCTTCAAACCAGGGAATGGCTGAAATAACCAATGCTCCTAATTCTTTAGGCTGCAGGAAGCCATGCAGACTGCCCAGGGACTGGAAAATAAAGATAGAAGAAAATGCAAACCATGACTGTGAGGGAACTTCTTGTTAAGCATTCACTGCTAACTGCTGTGAAGAATCCCCAGAGGGACTACCAGGGGAGAGTTAACCAAAGTACCTTCACCGTGAGCCTACATTTTTCGCAGTACTTAGTGAGACTGGTCCTTGAGGTAACAGCAAGGAGTCAGCCTTGAATGTTACTGGTATCAAAAGGGCAAGTTAGCCTCTCCACGTAAGCGCTGGAGGAGCAATAAATGAAACTTGAGCAATGCTTAATGATACATGCAAATTGCAGTACCAATTGGTTGGATGTCATAAAGAGCAATTACCTGTGCAAATCCAGATCTACATAAGGAAAAATCAGCTTTTCTTTAATTAATTCCCAGATGACCCGTGTCATTTCATCTCCTTGCATCTCCACAACAGACCCTCCATGGATTTTTTTAGACATCTTGATCTGCAGTAAAAAAAAAAGTCCTAAGTTAAAAACTACCAACACGTATTCTGCATTTTTAAAACACAATTAGAGATACTAACATTGCATACATAACCACTCCTGAAGTCTAAAAAACAAACAAACAAAAAAAACACCACCACCAAAGCAAAAAACAAACCTAAGTAGTATTGTTCTTGGAATCCCAGCTCCCAGAGAGATCTGGGGACAAAGTAAAAGGTTAACAGTTGAGATTTAAGGGCAGGAACTTAATTCAGAGCTTGAATCATGGTTTTTAAGGAATTTTGAAAGCATGATCAAACTCTTTCCACCCAAATTTCACACCAGTAGATGGGCACTTTTAGAGACTTCATCAGCTCTAGTCCAGTTGCCTGTTTTTCCTATTAAAAAAAAAAAAATGCAGGTTGACATTTATTTTAACGGCAGCTCAGACTGCTGGCACTAAAATCAGCACATCAGATTCTTAATAGATTCCTTCTCCAGGGAAGAAGGAAGCAGGGGCACACTGACAGTATCTTCTTCTGGCAAGTTTTACTTCAGTTGCATGTAGAAAACAAATGTGTCCAGTATTTATTTGACCAGAAGTTTCCCAGGATATTTATTCAGCCTTGAATAAAAATAATAGAAAAAAAAAAAAAAAAAAAAGGCCACTGAACTCTACCTCTCCTTTTGTACTTTGCTCCTTGATAAAAACAAAACAAAACAACACACCGCGCAATCCACTCAACTTCTCTAACACAGTGCTCTGCTTTTTTTTTTTTATTATCCAGTTCCTTGGTTCTCAACTCTAATTATGCAAGAGCTATGACTTGGCATTTTCTTTCCCCCCAAGACAGTCCAGTTCTTGTATGTAGCTGCTGGGATAGTACAGTGAGACACCAAGCCCTTGTGCCTGAAATTACAGTCTAACAGACACTGAGCTCCATGAATGGCTTTACCTAGATGAACAGGCTCAGTGTTCAGTAACTCACAACCTTGTTTGACCCAATTTAACATGAGCACATAACACTGAAAAGTGAACCGTCAGGCACTTCTATCCTAAATCTTGTCTCATATGAGGTCTTTCCAGTTCTCAAGAGAAAGGTTAACATCATTTGATCACACTGCATTTATGCTCAGTTTACTTACACAAGTGTTTCGGGCCCACTTTCCAGGAACAGCAATGTAAATGAGGACTGTCTCACAGTCCTATAGCCCAGGCACAGGTCATTAGCCAGGAGCCTCTAGTTTGGCTTTTAGCACTCACACAGCCCGAGGAATTTTGGTCATTCATTTAAGCCACAGCCCCACCCACCATTACTTGTTTTGTGGTTTGATCCTCACTTAAACAAGATCAGACAACCTCAGTCTTCTCACAGCAATAGGTTTTGCAAAACTAGCTTAAGAACTCTGCAGCGGTGTTGGCATGAGGGAAAACAAAGATGCGCCTCCACTGAGATATATCCTCCTGGAACAGTGGAACAGATGCTTCCTCAGGAGCTGACAGCACCCTGGAGGTCTCCCTGGTCACAGCCTCAGTACCCTTCTTCTCTCAGTGGCAGGGCCAGCTCGCCAACAGGTGCGCTTCCCTAAAGAATTCCTTTGGACTTTCTTCTTCTGGCGCCTTTTCACTTCGACTTTGCGCTCCACAGAGCTGCCAAAGGTCAGCAAGGGGCCTACAAGAACCTCCTTCTACACTTAACCCAAGCAGTTTAAAGCTTCGGCGAATCCTAACCACTCCTTGGTTTGCAGTCGCTAATTAACTATTGCGACACCTCGCAGCACAGCCGTACAGTTCTCCGGCTCGGGCCCGCCCGTCGCGCACTGCAGTGCCTCCAGCCCACCGCCCCTGCTCCCACCCCGCCCATGACAGCCCGCCGCAGCCGTGCCCGAGCCCAGCCCAGCTCCAGGCCGCAGCACGGAGCGGGCCGTCAGCAAACAAGTATAGAGGGCTGCGGGGCCCCAGGCGAGCCGTCAAGGCACCGGGTACTGCATGATGGCGAAGGGAGGAGCCCCGCACCACAGAGCGGCTCCGAGGAGCCGGCAGCCAGCGGCGGATGGAAGCGCTCAGAGGCACCCCGATAGAAAAGGGACCTTTCTCACAAAAAAAAAAAAAAAAAAAAAAAAAAACACAAAAAAAAAACCCACCACGTTAAAGAGCAATAACAAACGACTAGCCTCAGCCCAGCCAGAAACCCGGCCCGCAGAGAACACCGCACCGGAGGACAGAAGGACAAAGGCACGGCCGCGGCCCCGCCCGCCCGCCGCAGGCCGGGCTACGTAGCGTTACCTGCCAACACCGCGCTCCGCCGCTCAGCACACTGAGGGGCCGGGCCCTGCGCGGAGCACTTTATGGGGCCGCGCCCCCGCCCCCCGCCGGCCCCTCCCGAGCCCTCCCTCTCGCCTACCGGCGCCTTCCCCGCCCTCTCGCAGTGAGTGGCGGCGCGACGAGGCGGAGGAAGGGGGGGTGCCGAGGCCCGGGCGCTCCGGGGGCGGGAAACGCGCGTCGCTCGGACCGGGGGGCGCCCCGCGCTGAGGGGAGCGGCGGGCGCAGCTGGGAGCGGGGAGGAGCGCCGTGAGAACGCACCCGCCCTGCCGCGGTGCGGGCGGCGGTCCCGAGTGCACCCGCGGGGCGGGTCCCGCTAGGAGGCCGCCCCGCCCAACGGCCGCCGGCGGCGGGTGGATGAGCGCGGGGCCTCGATTAGCGACGCCTCGGTCCGGTCGGCGGGCGATTGTACGTGGCTGCGGGCGGGCGGGCGGGGCGGGGAGAGGCGGTGCCCGCAGCCGCGGCCTGCGCCCGGCCCGGTACCCGCGGGCGGCAGGTGAGGGTCGCGCGGTTCCGCGCGGTATCTGGGCCGCTGTTGGCGCGTGAGGCCCCTCGGCGAGATCCCGCGCTTCGCTTCTGAGCGCCGTGTCCGAACGCGCCGGGGGCTGCCTCGGCGCCTGCAGGTTCCCTCCCTGTCCCGCGCCCCTGCTGGCGCTCTGCCGGCGGGCAGCGCGTGGTCGCTGGCGGCGTCGCAGCTGAAACGGCCTTCAGCGTGTTTGCCGCCGCCTCTCGGTGCAGAGCCGCGCGCGCGTCTGCTTTGTGCCGCCGCCCGGTCCGTGCCTCCCGCCGCGCGGAGCCGGGTGCCCGCGGGGTCACCGCTGAGGATCGCGCTCCTCCCGCCGGTTTTAGGAGGCTGCTACTGCCGCCGTAGAAGCAAGCAGGTTGTTTTGCTTCTCTTTTTCTCGAAGGTGAAGTTTATTTTCCAGACCCGTGTATGTGTTACGTGCGTCTACCAGAACTCGCTTGTTCTCCTGCCCTGCCAGGCCGCAGCCGACTGCTGTGAGGTGAATTGGGCGGCCGTGGGACTGCCGTTTGGTTCTGTAAGGGTGCTTTGATTTGGTGCTGTGGGGAGGAGCACAGGCACCTCCTGCCTGCACTGCTCAGAATGGAAATTAGCATTAGGAGTCATATGAGTGACTTAGATATATTTTCTGTTGTGTGTTTGTTGTGGGAGCAGCCATGCATGTAGTGCAGCCTGTTAGCATGCCCGGTGTCGTGCAGAAACAATGGGGGTTGTTAGTGGGAGTTTTGGAAACTTAGATGAAAGTGTTCCAGACATCAAAATGGGTATATGCTGTAGGAAACAGCTGTGGGAACTGTGACTTCTGGAAGGAGCACTCCTCGGCTGCCAAGCAGGAAATCGGCTGTTAAACGGTTTTGATCCTGGGCAGAGATAAAGGGGGTCAGCTGGTCACATCAGCTCCCTGTGTTGTGGCTGTCAGATGTTTCCCCAAGTCTTGCTTAAGCAAAGATGAAGGAAGTAAGTAACTTAGCTTGTACAAATAGCATTACCAGAGTGGAAGATTTCAGGGGTCTGTTGGATGGATGAAAGCTTTGATATACAGCAAGTGGGGTCAAGAAGTATGACTTTTCTAACACAGCTCCCCCCCTTTCCTTCTACTTTTCAAAACAAGGAAGTTTGCAGGTGTTAGATATGGCAGCAAATAGAACACAACTTGGGTTGCTGTGCATGCGATTCTGCATTGTACCGCAAAGGGAAGGAAATTGTGTGCCACCAAACAGTCTTTCTGTCCTGCTTTCATGTACATTTCATTGTATTTCCCATTCTGAAGTTAACCTGGCCAGAAAAAGAAATGTATCTCATGCTTGCTGAGGTATACCAGTTTAGTCGTTATGAGGGCTGCAGATGTCACAGTGTTAATGCTTTCTCTTTTTTTTGTCTGAAGTTGAAACTTCTCTGCATGCATTTGAGACTGCATTTGAAAAACTCAAATGAGTCAAATCCCATAAAGCGATAATCAGAACGTGTTGTCAGGCTCTGTGGATGTTTGCTTTCTTAATCTTGTTGCTGAGTCTTTAGCTAGCAGCTTTGAATTGCTACCTCTTGTGGTGCTGCTGTCTTGTCACTGACCAGAGAGGGGACTTGGACCCCTAATCCTGGCCCTCTGACCTGTGCTAACAGCAGCGTATATGGTAGGAGGTGTTGAACATTTCCCTCAGCATTTGAATCACCTCTTTTTTGGTTGACTGAAGAGATCTGCTTCACCACCTTGTGTATAATGTGTGTTGCTGAACTCTTTTCAGGGTACGTGAAATGGCAGCAGATGACAAGCGGTCTCCAACACTGGATTCTACCAGTGATCTACCTCGTTCTCCTAGCAGCCCATCTCATCTCACTCACTTCAAACCCCTGACTCCTGACCAGGATGAGCCTCCTTTTAAATCAGCCTACAGCTCTTTTGTAAATCTCTTCCGTTTCAGCAAGGGTAAGTGCTTGGGAGAACATGTTTACCTGTGTCTTGTGCTGTCTGTTTTATTAATGGTCTCTCCTGCCACATAAACCCGTGGAGACACCTCTGAACATAAGAGTACAATGTATGACCCCAGTGGATGGTGAGTCAGTCTTTTGTGCGGGATGTTACGTCTTGCTCTTGGTTGACATTGTAGAGCTTTGCCGTGGGAGAGGATAGTCAACATCTTGCACCTGAGCTCTGTGGCTGCCTGTGAAGGTCAGAGACAAGCCAGTCAGCAGACAAAAATGCACAAAGCTTCTTATCTGGCTGTCTGAGTGTCCCTTGCCTGTATTAAGTTTTCAGGGCCAAAAACAGCGGTAACCATTTGCCAGCTTATGTAAGTGAAATATCTGCTTGCCTTTCCAAAGCAATTTCTTATTCCAGACTTCTTCCGCTCCTCATCTGCCTCCATACCTTTGTTTGGGTGGCAGGCAGTGGAGCTGCAAAGAAGCAGTGTATTTATAGGAAGTCCATTCTTAACTTGTCTGACTTAGGTGCTCTTCATCAAGCGTTGTGAAGGTTTTGTATATTAGAATGTTGTAGTTGATGCTGGCCTTTGTGCTGTGTCTATAGGAAACATTTATTGTTAGGCAAGCTCTTAGAGACCTGTGTGAGTTCCTGGTTTTGGTTTCTGGAAGAATCTTGCATAGAATAGTGAAAGAATGCACCTGAGTGCATCCTGCAAAACCTACCTTTGTCTTTGCTGGAGATGGCAGCCCAATCAGCTGCTTTTGTTTTATCTGTTCATTTTCCAGGTCTGTGAAGCACTTTCTGAGGAAAGGGAGCCAAGATAGGTTTTTGCATAAGCAAGCTGATCTGTTCGGTTTTCTTAGGCAGGATGAAAAATAATTGCTTGATATGACTGCTGTTAGTTTGTACAGTAGAATATCACCTGTCCTAATTAATTTATTGAAAGGAACAGAGATTTGGTCAATATTGGTTTAGTTTGTTTGGCTCTGGCAAATGTAGCTGGAGTCAGCAAAGTACTGTTTTGAAAAAATGTCTGTGAAGCAGCAGACAAGATGGGCGTGTTACTGGAATCATTGAGAACCTGTCTATGCTTGATCCTCTGACAGAGAAGGGTGGTTTATTACGGACTGTTCTAACTTTAAAGGGACCACAGTACTGGCTGCTAACATAACTGAAAATCTCCTGTGAGGGCAGAAGCTGATAATAAAGGGTAGCTATTCCATGTCAGAAGTAGTTCCTGCTTGCTGTTTTTTTTAAAACACTTTTCACACTGGGGGTGTTTCTAAACTGATGTTTTTATGGCACTTTTCGGACTAAAAAATCATGTTTTGTTATGTATAATAATGATCCAAATGAGTGTTTTGCATATTCTGTTGATTTTCTCATTGTATCTGAATAGTTGTTTTTTTGCTTTTTATCAACTCCAGATGATGGCAGGCTTTCATCCCCAGCGGAGAGAGCAGAAGCAGCACAGGCTGATTCACAGGCACTGAGCAGCAGCTGGTCCAGTCCTCAGCATCCCCCCAGGGCTCAGTCTCTGAGGTCACCAGTTACGTACAAAAAACAACTAACTGGTGAGCTGCAAAGACGATCTTCCTCAACCCTAGGTAATTTCATCTCTTTATGCTACGTGGGAATTGTACCAGCCAGTCTGAGTTGCTTTGGAATGAGGTGAAAGGAGGCAAACAGGGGGTTCGTTGTATTGTTATTCCAAGTACTTTTCAGAAAATTAATACGTATTCTTGGGTTTGGGTGAAAGTATGCTTAGAAATAAGAGTTCCATCAGGAGGGAAATAAAATAAGACCAAACTGAACTTGCTGACTTCTTGAAGAAATTTCTGCGATACGTGGTGCTGAGTGGCCTGACTCAGGATAGGCCATCTTCTGCATCTGCTCCTAACCTTGGTGCTGTAATAAACATGAGCTATGTAATTCAAGTAAAAGCCTACAGGTTGGGTGGAGAGGCTTTGCAGGGCTTTTTCAGGTCCACGTTGCTGTATTTGAGGATGGAGAAATCTTTGCATTTTCCCTCCCCTCAAATCAGGCTTTACTTTTTTTCCAGAGACAAGCTTTAGTAAATCAATTCTCGTGCTTTATTGTCTTAAGAGGTACTGAATGTACAGATCTTTGAGGTTTTCCAAATATGGAGCGGAAGAGAATTTAACTTCTGCCATTGCAGCTAATGCTGGATTGAAGAAAAAAAATCTTATGAATTGTTCTCCTAACTAAAAAGAATCGTGAACTTCTTTGTAACTCTTACTGCAGGTATTATTACTTGCTCAGACACCCAAGTATGAAAGTAAGTGATGTGATTTACACAAACGCCTTGATTTGTAGTTCAGTTCACCTACTTTGCTCAGTGTCAGTGAGGGGTCTGATCTAGCTGGGTTTTCTTGTAACATTGTATCTGCAAGTTTTGAGTGTTTTTTTAGCCCTGGCCTCTATTCTGAAGAGAATCTTCTAAACAGCAGGGATGAGCATAAGCGGGAGAACGGTTAAGTCCTTCACCAGTGTCTCCCTAGTCTACTTGAGTTTAAATATTATGCCAACTTTAAGCAAACTGAAGTGAATAAATAAATAAAAGACTTGGAGCAAGGCTGCTGGTGGCTCTAAACAGTGATGGAATGTAGTTGCTTCTGATGATGCTGACTCCTACCCTTCGTTTATCCATTAGCTTGTACTGTCTGCACAGGAGATATTTTTGTTCTCAGGAGCTGTGCTGTCTGGCAACTGCAAGTGCAAGACAAGAAGGAATGGTGGCTTTTGTAGGAAAGTGTCTAGTATCAAATGTGTGGGATTGCAGTTGTGTTTCCTTCGGGACTGCTACATCAAAACATTATTTTGGCATGTAATGGCATTTGTGAAAATAGGAGGAAATGCTGGATGCCAGGTTTAGGACAAAGATACTCAGTGGATATGGCAGAAAAGCCAGTACTGAGAGTCTGCACTGACTTGTGGCTTCCCTCTAGGGCATAGATGTGCAACCTTTTGGCTTGTCTGGGGTGCATTTAGTGAACAGAAATCATCTCGGGCCACATATACCTAAGTTGCTCCAAAAGTAACGCCTCCTTTTTATTTTCATGGAAATGACAATGTATACAGAGAGCACGATAATACTATTTGATAGAGCAAATTTCCAGCTACCAAACGCTATTTTTTTTTCAACATAGCTACCACTATTAGCTATGCATTTTCACTAGTAATGAACAAGAGCCTGCCTGACGTGCTGATAAATCTGCACCAGCAAAGGTGACCCACTGTCACCACTACTGAAGCACACCACCCACTGCATCTCTATGCTCATATTCACTGTTTGGTCTCCACAAATATTCACAAACATCAATGAATGTCAGTGGGTGACATTTTTTCTCATGGAAGATTTCAGAGATCCCCTTTTCTTCATGTGCACTTCCATGTGAGGACCATTTTGTCAGGCTGTGCCCCTCTGCTGGTGTCTGTCACGCAGCAACAAAATGCAATGGAGTATTGCTGAGAAGGTTCAATCTCTACTGCCATACCACCAGCATTCACCCCTAATGTTGTAGACCAATGTAATAAAGTAGAAGTCACTGCTTTCAGAGCAGCCTTCACAAAATATACGATATTGTTAATATAGAAGTAATGAAACATTTCAATCTAAAATAATTTTCTTAAAACGTTAAACAAAGAAGAGAGAAACAAACCCATAAAAACTATTGGGATACTTGGCCTTATTTCTGTGAAACTTACGCACCGGTCAGGTTCAGTAGCAGTGGTTGCAATTCTTAGTGAGGTCTCAAGGTTCAGGGATTTTTGGTGAAATTTTTCTCTTCCTGTACATTGTCATTGACAATAATTGTTCAAAATGTGTGTAATTCCAAAAAGCAATGGAATGAGTAAGGTGTGATTGTGAAGCAAAAGATATTTTTCTCTGCTGAGATGGGAGTTATCAAAGTTACCAGATTTTTGACTTGATTGGACATGCCTGCTCTGGAGTAACATGCTGCACCCTTTACTGGCAGTTCAGCTGAAGAAATTGAACTGCTGTTACGGAAACAAAGCTGGCTATACTGGAGTGTGTGTGTGTGTGTGTGTGTACTACATGTGTGTGCTGCCAGCTGAGTGCTTTCAAAGTGTTTGATTGAACCTAAGTAGTCTGGTACTGAGATGATGTCGCTGCTATCAAATCCAGTTTAAGGAGAATTAGATGCACTTTAGATGACCAATTGGAGAGGGAGCATTGGTGGTAAAAGTGATTCTGACTTGTTACCTGAGCAGCACACTGTTGGTGCTACAAGATTGTAGGAGACTGACAGTAACAAGGAAGGCAGAGGAGCTTTGTAGACGTGAAAAAGGGACAGCAATCATATGAGAAGGAAGAAGGCCTAAGGAAATTATGTGGTGGCTATTGGGAAGCATGAAGAGCATGACCTATTATCAGAGCATCTTTTTCCTTGGAAAAGGCTTTGGAGAATGACATGCTTTGCATCTTCCTCAAGTCACTAGAGTAGAGGTGTTCAAGCTGTTACAGTGATCTTGAATGTGAAACTGTGTATTTTGGCCAGGAAAACTAGAAAGCAGTTCATGTTGTATTACCAAAACTGTGGTGTTCTTGGTAGGTGTATGGGAACTGCTGAGCCACGGCCTGAACCTCTGATTGATCACCTCAGGTGAGCCATGAGTCAGCCAGAGGAGCACAGGGGAAGGCAATTCACCTGCGCTGCTGGAAGGGGTGGAGCCTGGCTCCCCCCCTCCTAGACCTATTTAAGAGCTGGCTACCAGTAGGGAAGGATCTCTTCTGGAGATCTGCTCTGCTGGTGTTTTGTGAGTGAGCCCAGGATAGGGGTAAGCCTTCTATTTGTTCTCTTTTGTTATCATAGTTTGCTTTGCCTAACTCTTGTTTATTTTGTGATTATAACATCCAAACATTCTTTGATTATACAGTAGGGTTCTTTGTTTATTGTTGAAACTGTGAAGTTCTACATCCGATGTTAGTGTTTGGTCAGTTCAGCAAATCTCTGTGAATTGAACTCAGGAGAACATGTGAGCTTAGTTGGTGGTTATAGCTGGAATAGTATTCTATATTTCTAGTGATCACAGTCCAGGTTCAGATCACAGATCAGTAAGATGAGGCAGAAAACATTGTATTTCAGAGGATGTGTAGATTTTACTGCTATGAATACATGTAGGAAGGATGAGGGTTGCTGTTGAAATGTGAGATTTTTTTTTTTTCGTCTTGTAGAGTTAATTTTTAACTTACGGAGGACAAATAGCTTAGAAATAAGTCAAATTGGAAGTCAGCATGGGGTTCATTTGGCATACAGAGTCTGTGTTCAGGGGCTGTGTGGATAGGAAAGAAATAGAAAGAAAACGCAGTTGCTGCTGCGTAAGTTTGTACTGCTAAAAAGACTTCAGTGTTTGTGGAAGTGAAGGTGATCTAATGATGTATCTACTGCTGATGGCACACTTTTTGTAATGTAGATGACAACCTTTTGACACTGCTTTGCGTAATACAGAAAACAGCCTTTAAGTAACAAGAGGCCTAGAGGGGGTTAATATGTGATATTTCCTCAGCATAGCGTATGTTCATAACTTAGTAATCACTTACCTTATAAGGTTTGTGGTTAATTGGGCAGGAGACCTCATAATAATTTCCTGAAAAAGTTACTTAAATCATCCTGGAAAAACTTAGTTCTGTTAGAAAGCAGCTTTTAAATAAATTCCAAGTGGCTAGCCACTGGGTTTAAGTACTCAGGTCTCGTTAAAATGATCCATTATGTATTCTGTGTTGTACAGAGGTCATGACATGCACATACAATTAACTTAATTAGCTAAAAATATCTACTGAGAACCTGAAGAGAAGGCATGGAATCTTGCAGTTTTAATCACATTACTCTAAGGGTTTTGATCTGCACACAGAGGCACAGCTGAGTTCTCACTGCAGTGCAACAGTTAACAGCCTTCTGCTGGTGCTGTCAGAATTCCTGCTGACATCAGTGGTCTCTAAAGCTGTAAACAAAAAGCAGCCATGTCTGTTTTTCCTGTACTGAGGGAATCAGATTAAAATGCTAGTCAGATGGAGAGCAGCGAAGCTGGTAAGAAACTTTAAACTATTCAAAAAAAAAATGTTTTTGTAGAAAGGTGACTCTGACATCTTGGTTAAATACTGTCTGCAAATAGTGTTGGTTAAGCACTATCTGCAGATCCTTTTGGAGAGAAAGACCCAGACTAGCTAGTACAGTAACAAATTCAAAGCAGTCTAGCATTTTACAGGGAAGAAATAAACCGTATTACATTCTCATTCAGTAATCTCTTTACTGTAGTTAAATAAGAATGCCTGTACAAGTTCTCAGCAGCTTGACTTTTTTTTTTTTGGTAGAGTATGTAACTTCTGAACAAATTTTATTGTGAGTTACTGAATGTAATAGAAACTGAGTTACGGAGTTCTTAGACTTGTTGCAGTCATTTGTTAGTAAGCTAAGCTTAAGCCATTGACTCATATCAGTTCTAGAAGGAAGGTAACAATTTTTGCAATTATTTTGTGAGTATTTATATCCTAGAAGGCATTCTAAAGCAAGGCTTCACAGTTTTCTAAAATGATATTACAAGGTTAATATAGTGAACTGAAAATTATTTCTGTAAAAGATGTTGTAGTTCTCAGAATTTAAATGGGTTTTTGTAAACACTTAGAAAACATCATTTAAAGTGCCAAAATAAGCTGTCAGACATCAAAAGCTCATTTTGGAGGAGAGGAACGTAAGGGTAAGAAATGATGCACACTGTAACTTTGTGAAGTGCCTATTCATGCAAACATTTCTCTCTCCAGTAGGGTTTCGTGTTGCTGTGTAAATGTGGTGGTGCCATGGAATAAGTGCTATTACTCTGCCTTCCTTTGCAGACAATCGAAGGAAAGTGGAACCTCCTCTGGGAGGTCATGATCCTCGAACAGCAGTTCAGTTAAGAAGCCTCAGCACTGTCTTAAAACGCCTCAAAGAAATCATGGAAGGGAAGAGCCAGGTACATTTGAGGGGTTTGTATGGCAAAGCATCTAGAAACTGAGCTGTGTACCAAGCTCCTTGATCTTCATTCTTTTTGTGTATCGTGAAGATTTTTTCAGATGTTTGATAGATGAGCGAATGAACTCAGAACTCATTGTGTGAGTGTATGGGAAATCATTTAAACTGATGACAGCTTTTGTCATGTCAGAGTTCTGTAATGGTTGTTCATTTTGTTGAGCCTAAACTAGATGTTCTCATTTATCACTGCTTCCCATTTTTGTATTACCTTATCTAGTATTACCTGGTTATTTTCTTCCTTGAAGGCACTCCTTGGGGAGGAGAAACACATTGCCTGTGAGAAAGAGTACAAGGGAGTTCTAGGGATGAATTAAATCTGTTTACTGTGGTAATGACTGTTCAGCAACATTTACTTGAAAGTCTTGTTCTGTTAACCATTTTGATTCAACTGACTGGTGGCTGCTATTAATGTGCTGCTTTTGCTTCCCTCTGCTGTTTTGGATGAGGCCTTTAATGGGAGGATCTAGTCAGGAGAAGAAACCACAACTATTTATAAGTCGTGATATAAATAGCTGTGTCTGAGAACACAAGGTATGAACAGGCAGAAGTATATTTAATTCAATTAAATTGGAAAAAGGCTTTTGTCTCTGTAGGTTTTGCAGGCTGACTTTGAGTAAACTCACTTAAGTTTGTTAAAGAAACTGTGCTTTGACAAAGAGTGATATTTTTGGGAGTGAAACTCGGGCCTTTCATTGCAGTTAGCAGGACACTGAGTATGGCCCTTACTTATTTTCTAACTTTTGGCATATTCTGAAGGCCTTGGAAATGTTATCATTGAGGTGATTGGGAAATTAGTATTCAAACAGGCAGGGTGCAGAAGTAAGCAAGTCTAGATTTTTCTCTGGAAGTGGTCTTTCAGTTGTCAGCATACTTGATGTGTGTAGACACGATGGTGCCTTGCTGCCCCTGCCTGCAAACTCATCTTGCTTGAGTCACTTCAGGTATGTTTCTTCCCACTATGGAGTTAGTTCTAGAGGAGACCACAATACTCGTAGAAGGCACATGTTACGTCCTGGGAGGTACTGCTCAGAGTAACAGGTTTCTGTTCTGAATCCTGCCTTGTAGGTTTTTCTTGCTATGAGTGTTGGCTTCAAGCTGAGCAAGGCAAAGAGCTTAGAAGATGTTTCTGGTTTCCTTCCTCTATACTTCTCCCAAAATATAGAGAAATCAGCAATGATTGAGTTTCTCAACACCCAGCCATAAGTAAATGTGACAGAAGCAATGTGGTTGAGGTCATGGATAGGGTTGCTGGAGGCTGTGCATGTGGATAGAGTGTTCTGTGGCTAGAATATCTGTCCACAGGGTAGAACCAGAGACTTTGTTCATCCTACACAACCACAGCAAAAACTGTTAATCGGCATCCTCTGCAGCTTTGCAGCAGGTCCTTGGCAAACCTCTTTCTTATAATTTTCTCTGCTTAAAGTTTATTTGTGTTAAAGTTTTCTAGACTATCTTGAACAGTTTTTGGCCTCTTTCTGTTCATGATCTCTTGGATAAATACATCATGAAATTTTGGTCTTTTTGGCCTCGAAATTGTTTTAGCAGCTGTGTTAAACTTAACTTTGTGAACATCCAAAAATAACTGAGAATTCAGGATATACCTTTTCCTTTTGTGAAAACTGGAGTAAGATCAGCTTTCTTTTCTGTGCTTATTCTTGAAAATTCATGCTGTTCTTTTTCTTCGTAAGAAAAATCCCATGTATTCAGTTCCTCTAAAAGGGCTCATTGCCAGAATTGAACTCTAGCAAAGAATGATTCACAGTCAGAGCTGTCACGTGACCATTAGCAGTTGTCCTCATCCATGGTGACTGTAGCTGATGTGCTCAGAATTATAATTGATAGATTTCTCTTACTTTGTTTATAGCTACATCAGCACATGGAGGTTTCACTTCTTTGTTTTCAAACCTTAAAATTCAAGACCAAACTGTGGCTGCACCCATGCTGTGTAATCAGTATATGACATTATCTGCTGAATGTGTACTCTGCAGTTACCTTCACATAGCAGTTAATGTGGAGTTTTTAAGCTACATCAGTCTTGGAGTCAGGTTTTACAACTGTTTGCTGAACAATGAAGAATTTGGCAATAAAACTTTATAGTTTTGTCCTTTATCATTTCTGAAAACATCTTAGTGTTAGCTATTGAAATGATCTTGCATTGCAAATTCCTGATAGCTTAATTTACCTCTGAAAAACTGAACCTCAGCTGATACTAAGCTGTGTTGGTTGAAGACCTGCTGTGCAAGGAGCAAGTGACAAGGGAGAAGCAGTCAGTGCTTTGTTTGTTGCTTCTTGTCTGTTATGTGTAGCTTGTGGTTTTTGTTTTGTTTTTTTCATCTTCTGGTTTCCATCTGCATTGAATCAAGAAGGCAAATCATTTTTGAATTTAATCTCACAGTTAAGAACTGTCTTGGTCTTCTGGCTTTCTATAAAACTGCGTAAAAAAATAACTTCTGTGCATGTGTGTGTTTATACCCAGTCTGTGCATGCACAAAGGTGGAAAAGTGATATTATCCTTTAATGTGCACAGCTTACAAAGCAATCATTAATCTAAACATGCTTTTTTATTTACAAAAAAAAGTTTTCTTGTGTTGCCTTGCTTTGTAGGACAGCGACTTGAAGCAGTACTGGATGCCTGACAGCCAGTGCAAAGAGTGCTATGACTGTAGTGAGAAATTCACCACCTTCCGTCGGAGGCACCACTGTCGGCTTTGTGGGCAGATCTTCTGTAGTAGATGCTGCAATCAAGAAATCCCTGGGAAATTCATGGGCTACACAGGTAGCTAGGATTTATTCACTGAGAAGTAGAACATTCTCTGTGTGCTCTGCTGTTTGTACTATTGCGTTTCAGATTCTGACATCTCCTAGATAATGCTGTACAGGTCTCTAACAAGCTCAGAAGTAATTTTCAGGGATGACAGCACTCAATTCTACCTTTTCTTGCATGTGTTGTTGGATTGTGCCATATCTGCTTATTTGTACCAACACTGTGATGACAAAACAAGTGTGGTCACTATGTAATTAGGATATTCAGTTCAGAAAGTGGGCCATGTGTTCTAAATGGAGTACAAGGGAAACTCTTTCAAATGCTAATTGACAAACTGTAGATGTCTCCTGATGAAAATTCCTAATTCCAGACCTTGATTCATATGGTCGCATCTTACTAGCAATTATTGTACCTCATTCTCTTACTCTCCTAACTAATCTGTCACTAACTGATCATGTGTTAGGCATCATTTGACTTGAAGAATTTCCTTTGGTGTATAATTATCTGGGGTTTTGCTTGTAACGGAGTAAGAGAACTAGACTTTAACATGCACAGATGTTTTGAAACAGGAAATCCTCCTTTTTCTCACTACTGCACACCTAATCCTGAAGGAGCAGCATACTCTTTGTTCCTGTTCACTTAGATGTTTGGTTCCTCTATTTGTAGGGGATCTCCGAGCCTGTACTTACTGCCGCAAAATAGCCTTAAGCTATGCACACTCCACAGATAGCAATTCCATTGGAGAAGATTTAAATGCTCTGTCAGATTCTGCGTGTTCAGTGTCAGTGTTGGATCCTGGTGAGCCTCGCACTCCAGTTGGGAGCCGTAAAGCTAGCCGCAACATCTTTCTGGAGGAGGATCTAACCTGGCAAAGGTAAGGTGAAGGGCTTTTTGTTGAGTCTTAAATGAGTTTTCAGGCTGTCACATGCTGAGACAAAAGCTGCTGGTTTAGGAGCATGTAGAATTAGAACAGGATTTTAATCCTGTGCTTGGTTTTCACATTCTTCTCATCAAATTGAAATATGGAAACTTTTCTAGCGAAGTTTTAAATTATTTGATATTATGTGATTTCTGTATGTGAAATAGTCTTCACCAGAAGAAAAGCTGGGAATTCAATCTCTTCCCAAAATACTGTATGTAGAATAAGGCCATCTCCTTCTGTCATGTGCAACAAAGAAGTGAGAAAAGTATTTAGGAGGGTGCTGCTGTATTTGTTTGTCTGATGGTACTCTAATCTTTGAACAGCCGGAACACAAAAGCATGCCTTCCTACTTCAACTAACTTGAATTATCATTTCTTTTAAAAGTTAAGGAGTAGAGTATTGTGGGCAAGTACAGCAACTCAGACAATGTGATATTGTATACGTTTTCTCAATAAGACTATTTATTGTGTTAGTAACATATCTACATTTCAGAGCACAACCAGTACAGTCATTGTAGGTGGGAGTGCAGTGACTTGTATCTCATAGATCTGCAAGTAGGAATTCATGTTTTAGGTGTTTGTACGTTTGCTCTCCTTCCTTCTGGATTGAAGAGAAACATGGCAAAGGTGACAGTGTAAAACAACTACAGAAGCTTTTTTGGCATCTTGATATGAGCTTTTTAGTAGTAGATACAGATATCATTGTTTGTATTGCAAAGATGGTGTGTTGGAGATAGTGCTTTGCAGGCAGAGGCATTGCCCCTGAATAGCAAGAAATAAAAAGGGGAGAAACCTATATGAAAGGGATATAGGGAAAGAGGACATACTGATGTAAGAGGTGGAGGTTGAGCAGAACATAAGCCTGAGAGTAGAACTCTCAGGTGTTGTCCCCCTGATTTCACTGGCCTACAAGTGGGGAAGGATTTCCCTATTATCTCACTGATTTAACTATAGTGGATGTGAAGGTAACATGATGAACTGTACTTGAATTGGAACTGTTCTGATGTTACTGCATGTGCCAGGTCTCTCAAACATCTGTAACAAACCCCTTTCTCCTACAGTTTGATTCACCCCGACTCTTCAACTACAACGCTGTCTGCACGCCTTGGGTCTGTCCAGGAGGATGCAGGGAAGTCTCCAGCTAGGAATAGGTAAACTAATCATATCTGCATATTTCCTGTTCTGGATGCACTCATTGCATGCTCTTCACTGTAAAGCCTATATTTTGCATTTTGTTTTTACTGAGCATGCTATTTCATTTCTAAAATCAGACTCTTTGGGCTAAAAGACCACTTAGGTACATGTTCCTGCTAATAAACGTTCTATTTTGAGGAACCTGTAGTTTGCTACTGACTAATTCAAATGGAGATGATGGTAAAGAGGAAATAGAAGAAAGGAAATGGCTAAAAAAGGGAGAGTTCCAAGGCAGTTGAACAAAAGGGAGTAGCACAGAGATGTAGTACTGTGAGGCAAAGTCTGAGGTCGAGAAGGGGCAGATATGTGGGTTTTTTTTTTTTCCCTGTTGCTTTTGTTTTCTTTTGTTTCCCACCCCTCAGTCCCTGTGCTGATCCACTAAATATGATCTTGTTAAAGTTACCTGGTTTTCTTAGGCCAAAGGCTCATCGTAGGTCTTTATACAGCACAATTCTGGAATGAATTTGGAATGTTTATGAGAGCTTTTGTATAACTTGTGAATGCTTGAGCTTAATCCTTTTAAATAGTCTGGTATGAGAAGAACAAGTAATTTCTACTTCACAGTGCTTCTGCTATGTTTCTAGTTAAATACTTTCGTTGTGGTTAAATTGGGGAAATAAAGATGTGGCAAAGATATGAGGAGAGGAGCAAAGATGATCCAAATTTCAGTGTTGAAGCCAGGAGACATTCAACAACTTGTTTGCATTGGTGTTCCATGAATACAGAATGTGAAGTGGTTTGGAAGTTCTGGCAGGGACAGCAAAGACTTGAGGACTCAGCTGGGGAGGATGCTGGGTGTGCCTTTCAGGGAATGGACTACTTCATGTGTGATGGGGACAGTTAAGAGGATGTGAACACCGACTGTACCTCTGAGGAGTGAAGAGCTCACCTAGAGGGAATAAAATTTGGTGAATAAGCTAGTGCCAGATGTCAGTTCTGGGCAAACATGACAAGGAGTCCAGAGTTAAAAGTTCAGTGGTAAATATCTGCAGTGATGTCAAGAGACCTTGAGGATGTTGTTCTGCTTCTTGTGTGAGTTGACATTGTGTACTTAAGAAGTTTTTTGTGTTTGTTCACACATGCAGTGGGAGGAAGATTCTAAGCTGGTTCTGACAGGGCCAAACTGTTAGTTCAGGGTAACTTGCTCTGCCTTTTCATGACCTCACTGTGGTATTTAGCCCTCTGGGCTCACATTTGAGGAGTAATGATCAGATATAACTCACTCCTGCCAAAACTCTGAACATGTAGAAACTAAGTTGTGAGGTTTTATTTAAAGAGAGTTTCTGTCGTTTGTAACTGTATTCATAGAATGTAATCTCAGGGCTAAGCAGTACTAGCTTTTAGATCTTCTCAGCTTTAGATATTTGTTTGAGGCAAGATTGACCATACTTCTTTCTAGATGACAGGTACCAAAGAAGGTGCAGGCTGGATGTTTAGTTACCTTCTGTTATCTGTCTGTGAATGAGAGAGATGTGATACTGTTTCTGAAATTAATGGAGGAGGAAGTATGTCAGTTAAATGTTGCAGAGAATCAAAACTTTTCTATGAGTTATTTTAAAGGATAGAAGTTGCCTTTACAACATCTCCCTCTGTCTTTAGAGCAGCCAAATATGTTTGAGTTCTGGATATCATTGGTGTTGATAAGGATGTAGATACGAAATGTAGTGTGACTATTCTAGCTCTTAATATAATTTTACATAAATTAAAAATCCCTGCTGCTTACAGATAGGTAGCACGGTTAAAGTAGCTCTTGTGAGACAACTTCATTGTGGGCTTTAATGTCAATCTCGTATTCAATGTAAGAATGTCTTCAGTAAAACTGTATTATTCTGCCTGGCTGATTTATCGATTCGAGTACTTTTCAACTTACAGCATCTGAAGACTGGCAGAGTTTTAACTTGCTTTGAACACCTAGGGTAGAAAATGTCTGCTATCATGCCTTAGTGTGTACAGATACAATGCCAAGACACTTTCCTTTTGATTCGCATAAGTGACTAAAATGGACTCCTGTTCAAGAAAAAGAGCAGGAAAAAGTAGTGATTTTGTGCCTTATAGTACCTTCAATTCTTACTTCCTTGCAGTAATTCAGCTTTAGCTTTTTGCACTTGGGACTAGCCACATCATCCTTCGAGAACTCTTGGGAAAAGTCATTGTGACTGTTAATAGAGCTTGCTAATTGGCTATCTGGGATTCACTCCAAAGAGTAAGAACTGGCAACAGCTCTTCCCACTGAGGCTGCTGCAAGCCTCTTGGATCAGGGCAGCATCGAAATTCTGATCTTCCCTTTGGTTGTGTGCAGAAACTGTCTATGTGCACTCCTTATGGCACTGTTAGCATTCCTAGCTTATACTGCATATATAGAGCTGCTGTGAAATGAGAAGAGTTTGTACTCTTTATTCAGAGGCTTAATCTAGCTAGAGGGGTACTGGAGCAGAATTATTTGGAAAATGTATTTGCATTTGTAGCTTTGCAATGATTATTGCAAAATGAGATGTTTGTATTGGAGTAGCCTGGATTTCCTAACAGTTAGGCTGAGATCAGGTGAATGGTCTATATCACAATACAAGGGAAAATGGCCAACTGGAGAGACATCCAAGTCCAGCAGACAGATTAACTTTTAAAATTCTTTCCACTGCAAACTGGGCAACACCAGTGGAAGTGTTTATATTTCAGAGATGTGAAGAGGAGAAATTTTGAATGGTTCAAGGTAGGGAGAATCTCAGTGCCTTGTAACAAGGATCTCCTGGTGTTAACTGCCCTTGCTGGCATCTGCCTTGCCTCCAAAGTGCTGGACCTCTAATTATCCAGCATGTCATGCCTTTCCTACTCTATTCAAATGCAGGCATATAAGAGCTGCTGTGTCTGAACTTAGCTTCAGCTGCTTTTTACAAAGGGCTTTACAAAAGTTTTTGTTTCACTTAGATGTTCCACCCCAATGCACTTACTTCCTGGGCATCCTTTCTTTTTCCTTTGACTGGGAGGGAAAAAGGGGGGCCTTAGTCTGTAAGTCTGTAGTGAGGAGTATGAACAGCATCAAAGACTTAAGTTCTTCCTCAGCATGCCACAAGATCACTGTCTCCTCTGCTGAAGCACTACACAATGAACACTTACAGTTCCATCCTTCTCTCCTGCACTCCAGATCAGCCAGCATCACTAACCTGTCGCTGGATCGGTCGGGTTCGCCGATGGTGCCTTCCTATGAGACATCCGTCAGCCCCCAGGCCAGTCGCACACATATGAAGGCAGAGACCAGCGAGGATGAGCGTAAAATCCTTCTGGTACCTTTCAGGCTTCTGTTTGTCTTCCTCTGTGAGAGCAATGAAGTTTGGCTTCCTTGAGTCATGCAGTGGGAGTATCTTGCTGCCTTTCAAGGATTTTATTTGAGTATTCTTCCCTAGACTGCTCCTCCAGGTGGTGCAGGGATGGAGAATATTGACACAGCTTTGGGCTCTTCTGTCTTCCTGAAATGAGATGTGGCATTTGCATAAATATATGTAGTTTTTTAGTCTCAGGAAACTTTTTACTTTGTGGAGTCAGCATATGGTAAATCTGTGTGTATTATACTTGCCACAGTTGCAGTTGTAACCAAGTGGTCTGATTCTGTCTTTTTCTGAGTTCAGATTTTCCCTTTCTTCCCCTTCTAGACTACTTAAGAGGGAACTCTAATGGCTATTTCAAAATGTTTCTCTGTTGAATGAGTTAAAGCTGCTGCAGCTTATTGGACCAAAACGTAACTTGACCCCTCTCCTTGTTTGCAGAATAAATGTTAATATTTTTTGAAAGATTGTGACGTACTTTTTCAAGGAAAAATCAATGTATAACTGAATGTTCTAAGTAGTCCTGCTATCCTCTTCTTGCTGAGTGGAGTGTTGTAGGTAGCAGTTACTGTGTAATGTGAAGCAGAGATAAAAAGTTTTATTTTTGTGATGGAGAGACAGGTTTCCAACAACTGGGGCAAAACCAATTGGAGAAAAAGGACTGCTTTTCACATTCAAAGACTGAAAATTACTTTTCATTGCCATATTTAAAATCAGGAACGTTACCTTTTGTATTGTCAGGTATTTGCCTGATACCAGCAGAGTGCAAGTAAATCAAAACACTAGTTCCTGCTTGGTTGTACAGCTCTGTAAATGGACAGTCATGTGAGAGAGAAGGATTTTTAAGGCATGTCTTTACACCTCCCTGCCCCATGCATGTTAGTGCAGAAACAGCAAAATCTAAAATGCTGTGAGTGCAAGATGGGGAAGGATGAAGTCCCAGTGCACTTCAGCTTCATGTTTAATTTTTTGGCCTGTTTTCTTCTTTGAGGAAGAACGGGCTTATTAGTATATCTTCTGTTCACGTAAGTACAGAAGATGCAGTGTCACTGTAGGTTTTGCTGGGAATTTCCACTGGTTGTTTCTTGTTTTTAGTATGTATCTGACTGTATCAGAAGGTAATTGAAACGTTCACGTACTGCATTCAGAAGGCTCATGAGCTTTGCTTATGAAACAGAATAGGGGAAGATATACATACATGGAGTAAACACATACTTCTCTGAATTAGAGGTAAAAATCCTTGAGTTGAAAAAGTTCACTGTGTTTTGCCAGTTTGTTCAGTTTCCTGAACTTGCCACGTGAGTTAAAGCGAAAAAGACAGATGAATTGTTGAATTGCCGCTTGCATCAAATCTTATGATCCTGTGGTGTATTCAGAAGCTGACCTATTTGACATTACCTGGTGTGGCAGTGGAGCTGCCGACGTTGATGCTAAGATGAAGCCCAGGGCAGCCAATGCTGAAGGTGATAGCAGAAAAGCAGCCCGGTAACAGAAGCAGAATACACCTTTTAGATCACAGAGCATCCTTGGGAAGGTGGAATGAGGCGGATCTGGCAGTTAACTGGAAAGCTGAAATTGATTAAAAGTTGCATTAAAGCTCTTCTGTTGTTGTTGCACAAAGGTGGAATGAGTGAAGCATTTGAACAAGTGAGCTGCAGTGGCTCTTCTCCATCCCTTGCTGTGTTCTATTGCTCTCAAAATAATACCAGGGTATTTTCCAGGTTGTTCCATCTCATCAGCAGTAGGTTGTGCTGTGCAGAACCTAGGTGCATGTGGAGAGCAAAAGGACCTAGGTAGCAAGCTGACATTTGAGTTTGAATGGGGCATAACCAAAGCAAGATTTGACATGTGTGTTTAGCAGGCCTTGAAACAAGACCAGGATGTAGGCTGAAGTGTTCCAAGTGATGGGAAAATACTTTGAGCTTCCAAGAGAGTTAACTAAGTTGGGCAGGGGGCACAACTTATTTTATTTAGTGGCTGAAGCTAGCAATGTCTAAAGTGTGTATGTGTGTGTACATACATACATACATACGGCAGTGTGTATTGCAATGTCAAGTTTCTGCTTTGTTTGGGCTAGGTGCTTCACAAACTAGGGTGCTTCATAAAACCTGAGATGAGCAAAGAATGTGTAGGGGAAAAAAAAAAACCTCTTCCAAAGGATGAATTTTCCTTGATCTTGTACGCACCACCCCGGTTTGAGACTTGTGCAAGAGAGCAGAAGTGAAAGCATAAGTATATTGCAGATGGTAGAGAAGTTTGCTCCATTAAAACCCTAAGCCCCTTAACTCTTAATGTAACTGTCTTGTTTCTTCTTGGTTTCCAACTTCATATAAAGGAAGGTTGTAAGGAGCTGATCCCATGTTTGTCTGCTGTTTGTTTTGCACCTTTATGTAAGTTTAGCAGAATGGCTTAGATTTTTGTGCCTGTTTCTAGAGGATGCTTGATTGAGAGTTTGAGGACCCAGACTGATGCTCTTGAAACAAGTGCTGCTGTCTGACTGCTAAGTAACTTGTGTATCTCCCTGTCCAGGACTCAGTCCAGCTGAAAGATCTGTGGAAGAAAATCTGCCATCACAATAGTGGGATGGAGTTCCAAGACCATCGCTACTGGCTGCGGACACATCCCAACTGCATTGTGGGAAAAGAGCTGGTAAACTGGCTCATCAGAAATGGACACATAACCACAAGGTAACCCTGATGCTTTAGGGTAACAGGTGTCTTCTGATTCTGGCAGAAGGTTGTGAGGTAATGTGGGGTAACTTCGATTCCAGAGAGAGAGACCCCTTTGCAAGAAAGCAAGAAAGAAGGCTATCAGAATTTTGTTTCTTTGCTGCCTGCAAGTATGATTCTGATTCCTCATGGTCCAGAAAAGGGCATGGGGCGCTCTGGTTCAAGAGCTGGTGTGGATGGCAGTGTATGGAACAGCTACCAACTCAAATGGGCAGAGAACAGTGATCATATTGCAAAGACTCTCCTAAAACATTTTTTTTCAGAGCTGTGTGCTCCATTTTGGTAAACAGAATGCAATTTGCAGGGTCACCATGCTACTTGTGTTTTGGATATGCTTGCGGAAGGTTCTTGCTTTGCGACATAGAGGTGTGTCTTCCCAGCTTTACAAAGGAGTTTTTGGCCACATGTAGCATTTCCTTGTTGATATGAAGGGAAAAAAATTCATTTCAACCTTTACAAGCCTAGAAGAAAGCAGACTGCTGAGTTCACTGATATTCCAAAGAGGCCTGAGATCACTATTAGTGTTTGGCAGCTAAATTTTTCATGGAAATGGTTGACTCTTAACACTGTAAATAAGTATAAAGAATCAGAAGTACTTCACTATGCAAGAGGGAGATAAAACTATGTTTGCTTTCGTATTTACAGAGCCAGTGTCCTTACTTAGCACAGATCTTCAATGCGTGCAACTCAAGCTAAAGATATTGGAGGAGTACAAACAGTATATCTTGTCCATTGGACATCTCAGTTTTAAAGCTCCGGCGGTCTCTTCATCTAAGTCCATACTTGAATCATTACACTCTGCCCCTTTGCAACATTTTTAAAATGATAGTTAAGTATGGGCGTGGAATACAGAGGAGTGCAAAGTCATAGCAAACGGCGTTTTCCTCTTGTACCATGTTTGTACCATAAACCATGTGTTTAAAAACAGAAAATGTCTCTGCTCTCATGCTTCCAGGGTTCAAGCCATTGCTATTGGGCAAGCACTAGTTGATGGACGCTGGCTAGATTGTGTCAGTCATCATGATCAGCTCTTCAGAGATGAGTATGCCCTGTACCGACCATTGCAGGTAAAAGGGAGAATCTGACTCGAGGGAGAAGGGGAGTAGGACTGTTAAGATTCTTACTGCTATTGACTGCTCACTAGAATATCTGAAAATTATTATCTCTGCAGCCATTGTGTGTTTTCTAAATAAGCTCTCCTGTATAGAGGAGTCTGCACCTTTTTCCTTAGTGGCTGAAAGCCTGAAGAAGGTGCATTTACACAGAACGCTTTGGAGCTTTGCTTTGTGGAGGATGAATTGCTGCACTTATTGCTGTCTGCAGAAAAGGAAAGGATCTCCAGTTTAGGCCAATACTTCTCATGGTGGGCATTTTCCAGAGGCCTTATAATGCCACAGTTAGCGGCTGTGCTGCATATAATGTGCATAGTTTAGTGTCTGTTACGCAGTTACTGGTACTGAGCTTTAAACGTTTCCCGAGTATTTTGGATATACTATGTTTGAACATAAGATAACCTCCTGATCTCTGGTGATGGCAGCAATAAGGAATTTAGTACCATAACCATGTGATGCAAGACTGGGAGGGAGTTTCTGTCCAGCTTTCCGGATTGGGCTGGCTAGATGAGAAAGAGTCAGGAAACCACTGACTGGAGATGCTATCCACCGTTTTTCATTGCAATGAAACGTGCACTTAGTTGTGAGTCCTCCATGTTCTTCAGCTTCTCGCGAAGGAGAATGGCTCAGCTGTCCCATACACATCAGCTAGCAAGCTTACAGCCATTAGCTTCATGTTTTCATTGTGTGTTTCAGCTCTTGGCCTCGGTATCTCAGTTTGCTAGTAAAGCGTACCCTTACTTAGCAAACACTTGTGGATCTGTTTGTAACTATTTGCAAAGACATTATATTATTCCAGGTTTAAAGCCAGTTCTCATCAGCCGAAAGCTCTATATGATCACTTTTCTTCCAGCTTAAACAAGATTCTGGAGAAACTGTTGGTAACTCAGCTGCTTGTTGCACTTGCTGTAGCCAAAGGAGCGATAATGAGAATTTATACTTGGGGTGAATCTAGACATCAGAATGGCTAGTTGTAATTGCTTAGATTCTCTCTGGGTTACTTGGCACTATATCCAGGCTTTGTTTTGGCTCAGTAGCTCCAGGCAGGGCCTGACTTGTGAGTGAAGCTTAGAGTTTCTCTTTTTGGTCAGCCACAGAGTTGCTCCAGTGGTTTAGACTATGTCTACACCAAAAGCTGCCTGAATCTGAGCACAGAATACGGCCATCATCCACTTCTGCTGGAGATAACAAGTGTTTAAAACTGCTTCCCTGGGTATGGTTACAGAAAATGTGCAGTGGAATGAACCTGTCACTTAGCCACAACTCGTACGGAAGTGTGGAGGAAGAAGAAACTAGGCACTATGAGAAATGAAAAGAAATGCTTGTTTCTTGTTCCAGACAGTTCCTATTTTGTGCTGGGGGAATGGTTTTTATGACTAATTCATCTCAGGCCACTGAGAGTATCCTCTGAATTTTAAAATGTCTGATTTGTGTTTGTGACAGGCCGCTTTCTAATGAATATGCTTAATGAATATGCTGGGATCAGCAGAGCTGCATTTTAACACCCTTTTTTCTTGCCTACTAGAGCACAGAGTTTTCAGAAACCCCCTCTCCAGACAGTGATTCTGTGAACTCTGTAGAGGGGCACTCAGAGCCATCCTGGTTCAAAGACATCAAATTTGATGACAGTGACACAGAGCAGATTGCTGATGAAGGAGAAGATAACTTGGCCAGTGAGTTTCAGCTAAGTTTTGTTCTCAAATTGTCTTCTTCCCTGCTATCTCTAGTCCTTCAGGACATAGTAGTTTAGCCATGTCTTGCTTTACTTGTGTGTACGTGTGCATGCGGCTGTAAGGATATAAGCAAACAGTACCTAGCTAGTCTTCCTGTGTCTTCTGATGGTATTTTGTTTTTTCTGAAACTGATAAAGCTTAATACTTGTAGTGGACGGAAAACGTGTAAATTACCTTCTCTTTCTCAGACAGACTTCTCCTTGACTTTGGTCCTATAGTAATGCGCTAAAGAATGCTGACTCAATATGTCAGCATGCACAGATCAAGATAAGAACTATGAAAATACTGTTTTCCTGTAGTATTTCACACTGGTCTTTATGTATTAAAGACAATTTTTCTCCTCTCCGATACCCTCATGATACCCGTTTGAACCCTTCTCCTCCCTGTATCTTCCCCCTTACCAACACTAAAAGACTCTGCCAGCCCTAGCAAGCGCACTTCAGTCAGCAGCTTCCAGTCCACAATGGACAGTGATTCAGCCGCCTCCATCAGCCTGAACGTGGAGATGGACAACGTGAACTTCCATATCAAGAAGCACTCCAAGTACCCACATGTGCCCCCTCACCCTGCCGACCAAAAAGGTACGAGGTAGTCACCGGCTGGAGTTGCACATGATGGAGAGCTGGGTCCTAATGACACTGACCTGTTTGGGCGCTACTGGAGTAGCTGTCTTACAGAGGGAGACGTGCGATATCTAGCTGGCGCTCGCATGCAGTTCTGATATGCTTGCCTCTGAAGAGGCTCAGTAGTCCCACTGAACCAACTTCTCTGCAGCGTGTGTAACTTCCTCTGTGACTTTCTCTTTTCAGTTGAAATGAGGTGTCCTGCTGTAGATATTCAAGTCTCACCTGGACGCCTACCTGTGTGACCTGGTTTAGGGAACCTGCTTTGGCAGGGGGGTTGGTCTCTATGATCTCTAGAGGTCCCTTCCAACCACTACAATTCTGTGATTCTGTATGCACATAATAGAGCATACCTACACGTACAGTGTCTGCCTAACTGGGGTGAAAAAGTAGTCCATGAATATACTGGTTTAATACTCATCTTTCCCAGTTTGAGGTGAAACTGAAAAAAGCAAGCAGAAGAACAATGAACAAAACTAACTTGATGAGCTTTCTGCTGGTTTCTAATCCTACCTTAAGTTTATGTTTGGCAGAAAAATAATCATGCTGATACATGGTATGGCCAAGTTTGATCTATGTATGTTACAGATAACTGGGACTTGTAGCGAATTATTCTTTCTTGGAGTTTTAACAGAGCCCTTATGTTGATGTGGCTCAGTATACAAGATTTGCCTTTATTCTCACAGGTGAATTGCATTCTCTGAAACTGAAGTGATAGCTAAGGAGAGGTGGGAAGGAGGACTGGCCACAGCTGACTTCCAAAGTGTGTTAGATAATGGAGAGTGAGGCAAATTAGAGGGAGCATTTATCATTACCTACTGTAACTACTATTTGCTAAAAACATTTACAGAAACAAATCTATGCTTTCTTCTTCTCATCTCAAAGAGGAGTAGAGCAAGTTTGAAATTCAAGTTTGACTGTGGTTTGTAACGGGAAGATTGTCAGCACTACTGACACCAATTTGTTGATGTTTCCTTCAGTCTTGTTTCCAGCTCATGCCCTAATCAAATGAGAAGTTTATACATCTGCAAGGGGAGGAATATTGTAGAGAGGGAGAAATTTATCAAAGAATTCTTAATTGGAAGGGGGGTTTTTTAAAGAGAGCTTGAACCAGGCCCAGGTGTGTTGCAGCATCTTAAGAGTTTACAGCTGTAGCAAGTTGATCTTTATTAGTCTGTGCTGGTATTAAAACAGGCTGTAGTCAGTTTAGGCATAGGGTAGTGTTAGAAAACCTGTATTTCAGATTTTCTGGTTTCCTGTGCATTTCAGTTCTTATATGTAAAAAGCTTTGTGTGATGAAGGGGGAATGTAAAAGACCCTGCTTCTCCACAAGCTTGTCAGCCAAGTCAAGGTTTTTTAATAACCAGAAGTGAAGCTCTTGTTTTTTTTTAAAAAAAAAAAAAAAAAAAAAAAAAAGATTCTAATGATGGAGCGCTTGAGGAAGATCATCAGATAGGGCAACTAGTGAGGGAAGTGAAAAGAGAATTTTGCTTTTAAATTATGCATAACGGCAGTACAGTGATATCTTGGGATCTCTGCTGAGTAGTATTTGTTAGCTGTTCCTGAAACGTGTGGCCTTTTAACCAGGTTATTCTCCTAGGAGTATAGTTCATAGCTGAATACTTCCCTCTTTTAAGAGGGAAAGGTACCTGAGTAATGTCAGCAGAATGTCCAGAACTGAGATAAGGTAGAGGTATGAGTCATTAAAACACATGATGGAGAAGTAAATGTTTTCTTGCATTTTTTTGAAAAAAAAAATCTGTTTCTCTGCATATTCAGAAGACTCATTTCACGTCTTTTATTGTTTTCTAACAATGTCTGCATCATCAGAGTCTTTATAGGAAAGATCTAACCAGGGTGCAACAAGTTAAAATGTCCACTGACATCCTGAGTAGCAAGATATATTTCCTGGCAATAGGGAAACAGAAATTTCCTGAGTACTTAGATGTTTGTTACAGGAAGGACTTCAAAAATTAGGTGTCACAAAACTCTGCAGTGCCCAGGGCTGTACAATGTATGACTTCTAAAACTTTGTTCCAGAGTGTATTAAAGTATGAGTGCAAGCAAAGACTTTCACCCTGTGTTCTGATTGATCCTGGCCATTTTCTGCAACAGATGCCTTCCAGGGTGTTAGTGATTGTCAGAGTGACACTGATCAGACAGAACTAGATGGTTAGCCATTTTCATTTTACATAGAAGCTTATTTTAGTAGAGGACTGCTCTAAAGCAATTCCTCCTATTTTATTACGTTGGCCTGCAATGTCAGAGATGGATGTTGGCGTTATGATAGTAGGGGTTGAATCTTTCCACTAATATTCCGTGACCTTTTGTTGCCATGTGACTGATGGTGGCAGAGGGAGTCTGACAAAATGACATCTGATATGGAAGTGTTATGAAGCAAAGATATGTCACTGAATTCTACTGTGGTGAAAAAAAAAATGCCACACACTGAGATTTATCAAACTTGTTGAACATTTGTGGAGATCAAACAGTGGATGTGAGCACAAAGAGGTGGTGGGTGGTGTGTTTCAGTAATGGTGACTGCGATTTGAAGGACAAGTCATGTTCCAGAAGGCCATGCAGATTTTGGAGTGTGGTATGCAGGATTTTGTTCAGCACTAGTGAGTGCATAGCTACTGGTGATGAGTTGAAAAAAGTGTTCTGTAGCTGAGAAGTTGCCCTATCAAATAGTGTTATTGTGCTCTTTGTAGCAGTTGTAGTTTCTATGGAACTAAACAGGAGGCATTATTTTCAGAGTGACCTATGTAACAGAGCACTATTTCATGACATTGGGTTTGTAGGTGTTAGAGATCAGTAACTTCCCTGTGCCAGGCAAACGTGTGGCTTGATTTTGTCTGAATTGTCCTGTGCTTAGACCAGGTGACTAGGCAGTGACTTCATTTTCTTTAGAAAGAAAAAAGGGAAATGGATGAAGATGATCCCCACATCTTGAGCTTATTCACTCGATTTCCTCACAGCTGTGTAAATTAGAGTAATTGGGGTCAGACTGAGGGGACAAAACATCAGTGCTAGAAATGCAGGTTCAACTTTGATCAAAGTGATTAGCAGCTTTTTTTCAAATGATTAAGAGAGATGCAAAAAATTGGTTGTGGAGGTCAGCTGCTTTGAAGCAATGGCCAATGATGAGCTAGCTGTGTTGTATAACAGCAGTTTGTATATAATCTGGTGGCAGGACTTATGATGTGTAAGGCTGACTAATGTTCTGTGTGCTCCTATGAAATTCTAGTGATTCTAAGCCAGCTGGCATGTAATATCTTAAAAATGAGTGTAAGTGACTCACTTGTAATATCATCTACTCACAGATAATGGTACTTTCTGGCATGTATTGAAATGGGAAACAAAGCAATATTGCTTTCTGCATTTAGATTGGGTGAAGAGATTAAATGACTTAATTCATTTATTTTAAATGTGGCTTTTGATTGCTGTGCTTAAAAACACACAATTATCAGCATAGAAAACTTCTAAATACCCTTAAAGCCAAACATCCTGAGAGGGCAGGAATTTTGGGTAATTTTAGATGCTAGCATCTAGTTAGGAGAGGGAACAGAAGAGAACCTTGTGTAATGACACAGTTCCTTATCACTATTATTTGCCAAGGCTTAGAGTCCTGCTGTCAGAGCCCTTTTAGATATATACCACAGATTTTAGTGGCTGTCTCTGGATGTATGTGTGCTTTGTGTATCTAGAAAAAAAAAAACACCTGTGAGTTATGGCTGGTCTGTTTAGACTTACAGCAAATAAACCTATACAATGTTTAAAATATCTACCTGTTGGTTTCCAGTGGAGACCTGTGAATTTGTATATGTTGTGGTATTTGCATTCAGTAATGCTCTTGAATATTACACTTCTGGTTTTATATATTCTGTGTGTGTGGTGGTATTTTTTTGTTTGATGAGGGGGAATGTAGGATAGTTAATTGGCAGCTAACTGCTTGCAGATAGGGCTACAAAATATGCAACAACATTCTCTGGGTTTTCTCATCTCATCCCTTCTCTGTAAGAAATGTCTATTAGCCACTCTCAGTGGCTCAAACTTGCATCTATGAGTGTGTCATCTCTAGCCTAGAAACTTGTCTTGGAATAGAAATAAAAGGAAGCAAAGTTGCAGGAGGTGAAACTATTGATGAGAGGTGTTTCGTATTTGAGGGTGTTACCTGCTTCTTTAGCTAGAGCAAAACCAAGGTTAGTTTCAGCTGGTGATAACTGCTGCCTTGGCTGTGTCAGTCAGGGTTATGCGACAGATCTAATTTCAGTGTGTTCACAGTAAGAGCTTCTGCCCTGAGGCTGCTGTACGGTTGAAAAGGACTGAAAAAGGAGGTGTTGGTATGTGTGTACATGCGTAGGAACAGTCTGATATGACTTTCTCTAGCTAGTGGCGCTGTGGGTGAACGCTGAAGGTGAGCCAACTTATAAGCAAGCTAGGGCTTGACCTAACTCTAAATGCTTCATCTAAGTGAGAGGTGAAAGGAGTCTGCAAATAACTATTGAGCAGCAAGGGATACTTGCCCCTTCTTGTTCTGCCATGTATGTTTGGTACACTGATCATCTGTTGGTTATCTGATTTCCAGCTGGGTAACTGCGGACAAGCTTAGATGTTTGAAATACTGGCATGTAAGGGGTCTCTTGAGTGCTGCTGTTCAGAGGCTTTTGATTGCTCGTGTACTGTCTACTTCCTGTTGCTTTCTGTTGGTGTCTGAAGCCTTGCTTTGCATTGTTTGTGGTGGCAAGTCTGGACCATTCTCAGGAAAGATGATAGAGGGTTGGTTTTGGACTTGGGATCATCATAGTATGCAGAAATTTGGCTACTGCTTGTTTTTCCATTGAAGTCCCTTTTTTTGTAGAAACAGGTAAACTAAATAAATGCACAGTAGGCCTCTGGAGAAAACAAAGGTTGTGCAGCTACAGAGCCTGCTTGAAATTTCATTGATATTTTTTTGTTGATCCAGTAAAGAGGTATAGCAGATAGAGCTTTGTCCTGTTTCCCAAATGTGAAGGACAATGTGTAACTCTCACTTTCCTCAGTTACTGGAAGTCTACCTTTTTATGCCTGGATTCTTCAAAACACTTTAAACTATTTTAGGCTTCAGACTTCTCTCTCTCAAAAGGCAGGCTGCTTTTTGTTCCCTTCACTGTGTAAGATAAATCTTACAGCTGATCTTTCACTGAGTCTGATAATACCATAATATTTACTGGAATGTATGATCAAAATGCCTCCTGAAGCTGTATTTTTAGATGAGCATGTGGAGGTCGTTCCCATGGTGTTTTTGCAGCTTGCAACAAGTATATTCAGATTATCACTATTTTTTTTTTTATTTCTTTAAGTGTCAATAGGAAGAACAGACTCTTAAATGTCAGTTCAGTCTGTGTTCATTTTCACTTTGTTCCCATGGTAATACAGTAATAAATTGTCTTCCTAGAACTTGTTGATAGAACGAGAACGAGAGGATATTCTTGTCTTGACCACTCATCAAGCTGTTGCTAAATTAGTGACTAAATGTTTAGATGAGTAATGCTGCTGCTTCTGGTGTGGGCGTGCACATCGTAATTATATGGGCACACCAGTGTAACCTGTCATTTGTCTCCGCCTATCTCCCTCTTCTCTCTTCTTTCAGAGTACTTGAATCCTGACAACGGAGGGCAGCAGATGTTCTCTATAAGTGATGCTTTCATTAAAGGTAAGAGGAAAAATTTCAAATGTTGCTGTTGTGTGCTGTAATATAATGTGAAAATTCTTTACTACTCCTTCAATAGAGCGTTGGCACTTTATGAACTGAAGTTACTTTGGGCAGAACTGGCATATGGGCTGTATTGTCTTTTAAAGCTTTTTCAAACTCAAATTCCTTCTCAAATTTCTTCAATCAAAATAACTCTTTTGTTATCTTTCTTTTAATTTTTTTAAAGTAAGTCTCAGTGGCAGGTTTTATCACTTTTTGTTCGTAATTTACTCACCCACAATCTTGTATAACAGATGCCAGTTCTAACTTCCTTTGCAAGCAAATGGAGATGTAATACAATGAAATACACTCCTACAGAACAGTTCAAGGCTTAATCTCTTAAAACTTTCTGGGTTCCTCATCACCAATACTGCTACTTCTGTAATGAAAGACAATCAGCCACAGTTCTGAATTTTAAAACTGTGCCTTCCAATTTTGTAATCAGCCTTACTTGTGGGATTTTTTTTTTTCCATTTGATGCTGTTGATTGTAGTGAGCTTGGAGAAGAAGAGGAAATAACTGGGGAAATCCTGGTGTCTGTGCATCCAGCAAAGTGAAGAGTTTGGCTGAAATCATGCTTAGTTTTTAACTGAACTTCTGCAGCAGAGGGGGGGAAGGGAAAATCCCTACTTAACTTCTGCTATTCTATGCAGATAATTTTGAGCACTGAGTGTCTAGAAGAAGTAAATTGCTATTTTTAAAGTGTCTTTTTCAGTTCTCTTCAGGTTATTGTATGAGGATTTTGCATTCAGATAATGCAATTGTTTTTTGCTTGAACTCTAAAAGATTACATGCTTGCCAGTGAGAAGTTGTATACTACTAGCATGAATGATTTACAATATAGTTAGCCGTTATATAAAATTGAGGAAGTTCTAATGTGGAATATTGTAATGCCTGTGTGGGAAGTAGCTTTGTAACTCTTTCAAAGCACAGAGAAATAGCCTGTGATCCTAGAGAACGGTTTTATGGATATGCTACACATTGCAGTGATTGAAAGTAGCAGTTGCTCCCATCAAGCAGGAACTATTCTGCACAGCTGAAACTTGTTTACTCTTTCCAAAACCAGTAATGACTGCAGTTTTTACTGACATTTAGAGATGTTTAAATGTTTAAGCTGACATTAAAAAAAAAAAGCGTGTCCAGTGGATGCAGCTTTACTTATCCTGTTTAACATAGTGGAGAGATAGCTGTGTATGTGATGGTTAGGTAAAAAGGGATGAGAAGAAGTGCTGAGACTTCTGAAAATCTTGTGCTGCTTTCTTTATGGGAAAACCTTAAGCTTGTGAGAGAAAATAGTTCTGTCGTGTTAAATACTATGACATAGGGTAGATGAACCAGCTTGCTAGCAGCTCACTCTGCACCTGAGTAGCAAAGTGGTGGTGTTTGATATCTGACTACAAGTCACATCAGGGTTTATTGGTAGCATAGTATTTTAAAATGTTTGGGAGACATGCTAAACAAGGCCTGTACCAAGATATTTTTGGAATTTGTACTGCAGCCGGAATGGTGTAACTTGATCTTTCTACTGCAGGTAACTTGTATATGTCTTCAAAGCAGCAGCTATCTGCAGATCAAATTATTGTGCCTTTAATCAATATTCTAAATTTGAAAAGGCCTATGGATATGTAAAGTATTAAGAATTTACTTCTTATTTATAGGCAGAACTGCAGTGTAACTTTTTTTTTTTTCCTCTTGCAATAATTTTAATTCCAGGAGAGCAAACTGCTTATGCTGTACTAGCAGTATGAGAATTTCAGTAACTCACTTTTCCTTTGCACTCTTATTATTGTTACACTTAAAATTGTTTATAGCATGTTACCATGACTCCTAGCTCAAACTCCGGCTTTCAAGAAGCTTAGACTTATGCCCTGGTAAATTCTTTCATTTTCAAAGTAGTCTTTCAGCTGTGACCTTATATTAACAAAGTTGGCTTGTCTCTTGCAGAATCATTATTCAACAGGAGGGTGGAGGAGAAGTCCAAAGAACTCTTTTTCACACCGCTAGGCTGGCACCACAGCAACCTGGATCTGCTGAGAGAAGAGAATGGGGAGAAACAAGCCATGGAAAGGCTGCTGTAAGAAAAACCAAGAAAAAGAATTTTCATATCTTGAGTAACAATTCTGGAAGCCCTCTTGTTCTGCTAGTTTTTAGTGGGACTCTATCTTCTGTGGATATTTTTGCTCTTTTCTGTGGTTTTATGTGGGTTGCTCCAAAAGTAATGCCTCCTATTTATTTCTGTGGAAACTACAATGGATACAAAGAGAACGAAAATGTTAGAGCGATTTCTTAGCTAGAAAGCACCACTTTTAAACATAGTCGCCATCACTGGCCGATTAATGTCAATTGAGATGCTCTTCATTTTGTGATGTGACAACTGGGTATGGCTATTTGGAACGTGGCTTGTCTTTCTCGTAATTGATGCCACTGTTGAAATGCAGCACTCACCACCTCTTTGCACTCACATCCACTGTTTGATCTCCATAAGCACTCAGCAAGTGTCAGAATGCCATTTTTTTCCCCATGGAGGAATTCAATGACAGATCTTTGCTTCATACTTATTTCAGTGTGAGACACCATTTTCTCTGCTGCCATCTGTCTCATGGCAACAAAATGTCATGGAATATTGATGGGAAGGTTCAGTCTCTACTGCTCTGTGACCAACATCTGTTTGACATTGTGGGTCAACATAATAAAATAAGAGGCATTACTTTTGGAGCAGTGTGTGTCTGCTAAAGTGAAAGAGAAGAGAGTTGACTGTAAATATTTCTAAGATCCATATCTTCAGATGACTTCCTGTTTTGTAAATATTAAGTAATTAACTTTTGGAACATGACTTTTTTTTGAACTCAGCTCTGCTAACCACAACCACATGATGGCGCTGCTTCAGCAACTTCTGTACAATGAGTCGCTGTCACTGTCATGGAGGGATATCATTGTACCTGTGGTCTGTCAGGTAGTTCAAACTGTAAGACCTGATGTCAAGAACAGAGATGATGACATGGATATCCGCCAGTTTGTCCACATCAAAAAAGTAAGTTTTCCGCACTGGGTGTAGGGAAAGACAAAAGGTGAAGCTTCTGGCAGCACTCATTGTTTCGAGGGAAGGGTTGTCACCTCTACACTCAGCTTGTCCAGTGGTGTAATTGGTTCTTCTGGCCTTTGAATAGTGTGAAGTTCTAGGAAAATTTGTACAGAAAGAGTTATGCAAAAGGTGCTTTAATGCCCTGGAGCTGACCTGTTCTTTCAGGCTTTAGGCCGCAGAAATTAGCAAAGAGTAGCACCTCTGTAATGACTTGCTTCCTTTCCTGGCTTCTACTTGGTTTGTACTGAGATTATGGAGGTACTTAGCACAGTATAAGTAGCTTGCAAAACTCTGTGTGGCAATCTATTGGCCTGTGACTTCCCATTATGGAGGATTTAACTTGCTGGATGTGAAGTACAATGACTTTCTTCCCAGAGGAAAACTTGATTGGCAGGGAGGGTGCATCCAGTTTTACCAGGTGTCCCAGTGATGTCATTGTTGAACTGTAAGGCTGGAGTTGTGGCAGGTAGAGCTTTTTCTGAGAAGCTGATGTGAAACTAACCTCCAGGAAAGTAGTGTGACTTGAAGCTCATAGGCTCAGGCTTATTTTTGCATGGTAGAAGTTTGCCCTGGGAGGCCTCTTTTGTTGGGAAGCAAGATGAAATATGAGGAGAGCAATTCTGTAGCATCTCTTGAAGCAGAAACAACTGATGCTGCCTCTCTTGAAACCCAGTTTGAAAAAAATCAAATGTTCAGAGATGAAAGCTCTCATAGGTGTCTTCACATGCCACTAAATGAAACATCTTATTCAGGAACTTGTTTCGTGTTGTCTATTGCTCCTGTGGTTGGTTGTGACTGTTGGCACAATACTCATTTATGTTTGAGCAGTAGGTAGAGGTTTGTTCTTTTCTATCATCATTCTTGTTTGTGACTAGTGAAAATGGTTTGTACAGATGCATGTGCTCCCTATGGCCTGTAGAACTTGAGTTTCCTCATTACTTTCCAGGGTATGTTTGATTTCATAAATAAGTGTCTTTTAGGAGGGGCCTGGATGTCCTGGAACTTAATACCTGTTTTCATGCTTTTGTCCTTAGTTTCCACGATTCTGACAAAGAGTTTTGTGCCCAGCATGACAGTGTATGATCTTTAATCTGATAACTAAGGATGTAGACAAAGCTTGTGTGCTAGCCACAATGGCTGTTCTTTTAGGTTTACAATGTCTAAAAATTATTGAAATGTTTAACAATATTAAAGTGTTCAACTTCCTTTGCTCTGTTAGATCCCTGGTGGAAAGAAGTTTGACTCCATGGTGGTGAATGGATTTGTATGCACTAAGAATGTTGCACATAAGAAGGTAACTTGTTCAAGTGCTGGCAGTAGAATGTGCTGAAGAGAAGTGTGCTGTGACTTTCTTTTGTGTTATATGCTGCTCTCAACACTTTCTCCAGTTTGTTGAGCTCAGAAGCAAGGAAGCATTTCTTTTCAAAGCTATTTTCTTTCAGATAAGACAGTAGTGGGAGAAGGAGAAAAATCTTCCCTCACGCATCTGTAGCAAAGTATCCTTTCCATCCCTTTCACTCCAGAGCCATCTAATGATAGTCTGGGGAAGAGGAGACTCGGAGAGACCTTACAGCTCTACAACTCCCTGAAAAGGAGGTTGTGGTGAGGTGGGGGTCAGCCTCTGCTCCTGTATAACTAGCAATAGGACTAGAGGGCATGGCCTCAAGTTGTGTCAGGGGAGGTTTGGGTTGGATATTAGCAAAAATTTCTTCCCCAGAAGAGAGGCACTGGAACAGGAGTCACTGTCCCTGGAGAGGTGTTCAAGAAATGTTTAGATGTTGTTCTAAGGGACATGATTTAATGGGGAGGTGGTGTTGTTAGGTGCGCAGTTGGACTGGATGGTCTTAGAGTTCTTTTCCTGCCTTGGTGATTCTATGGCTGCCCCAAGTTCTGGACAGAAAAAAAGACCTTTATGGTCCTGATTTTTGTGACAGTACAGTTAAGTGAATCTTTAAACAAGGCTAGAGATCAAGATTGAAATGATCCACCTGGAGGCTCTAAAGTATATTGAGACTTAATATGTGTACATGTATATACTTAGTGCTCTTGGAGGTGAGTGCAGAAACCTTCAGTGTTGCAGTCTTGCTGGACAGTAGCTGTGAAATTCAAAAATCTGGGTGCAACTTAAGTAGATGGCGTAGGAAATAGCAAAGAAATTTTGCCTAAATCCAGTCATGGGTAGTCTGATGTAGCATTTTTCCTTTCTGCCTATCTCTTTTTAAAAATCTTTTTTTTTTATATATTTTTTTAGATGAACTCTTGCATAAAAAATCCCAAAATTCTTCTGCTGAAGTGCTCAATAGAGTACCTTTATAGAGAAGAAACAAAATTTACCTGCATAGACCCTATAGTACTTCAGGTAAGAGTATGCTTTTATTGGTTAGAATTGCTCAGGGTCTAGTGATTCAAACAAAAGACAGTGATCAGTGCACACCTTAGCTCTTCAGTGTGTAAGGTGCACTTGAGTTAGTGGAATTGCACAGGAAATAAAGAGATTTCTTTTTGTAGTAGCCAGCAAGGAAAAGTTGTGCTAAATAGAGCATGAACTTATAGTCTTCTGCTGAGATTCCAAGAGATTTATGAGAGGGTATCTGGAGTTGCACATATTGAGAGCAATTTTATGATCCTTACAATTAAATGTAGTAGTTCAGAAAACATTCCTCAATTTTAGTGATGCACTGCATAAGAACCATACAATTCAGCAGCTCAGAGCTAGACATTGTTTAGGTGTGCAGAGAGGTATCAAGTGAATATAGGCAAGATTTAGGTTGTACCTGTGTAACTTTTTTTGTCAGGCTTGAACAAATGGGGCAACACCCAACCTAATGAAGTTGATGAACTACAAAATGTCACTTTGCAGCTTGTGCTCAGCCCTTGTGAACAGGGAAGTGCCTTGGGTATGAAAACACTGAGATAGGTGGAGTTTTTGTTTAATACAGTACATGTCTGCCTGAGGATCAGTTTTCAGATCTTTTCCAGGATACTTGTAACACTGGCATTTTGTGCTTTACTGAGCTTGGGCCATAATGTTAGTAGTTAACTATTTCCTTCAATTGCGTGCGATACCACTTCCATTTAGTGCTTAATGGTAGGCTTACAGGTGTGAAAGCTTTGGCAGTAAAATTTCTCAGCACAGTGAGCTGTTTTCCAGTAGAAATTTAAGCTGAGACCTGTCCTTGGAGTGGGACAGAAGCATCTGCTATTCTTTATGACTACTGGTTGCTGTGATGTTTCAGTGCTTGCTTCAGAAATTGATCATAGGTATTTGTCTGTGTTAAAGCTCTCTAGGGCTGAGAATACTTAAGAAATCCTAGGTCAGTTGAAGAAGTCAGTTTCTATCAGTTGGCAAACTTTCTTGTGATGCCTTTCTTATGCCCACAACCTCTAAAACTTGACTGATGTGAGCCACTTGAAAATACCTGGCTTCAGAAGCTGTACCTTCCCTTCAGCAGTGTAACTGATTAGTTCTGATGACTTTGCAGCCATATTTTCTTTTTGTGCATGGTAGTGAGGGGAGATAGTGAAATGAAGCCAGGTGATGGGCATGGCAGATTTAAGGTCTGAGTCTCTCAGGGTCATGAAGAGATGCAGCATTTGTATTCTGTGAGTGAATGGAAGCATCCCTGTGTGACACTACTCAACGTTTGCATTTACCTGAAGGTGGAGAACATAATATTGCAAATGACTTTTGTTTAAAATGCTCTATTACTAGCACCTTTTGAACATTTTTCCATTGGGATTGTAAGGTACGTACAGATTTTTTTTTTTTTTTTTTTGTTAGAATCATAGAATGGCTTGGGTTTGAAGGAACCTTGAAGAATTCCACTGCCACTCCATTTAATTCCACTGCTCTGGACAGGGTTGCCAACCACTAAATTAGACTTTAAATCAGATTTTCCAGAGTCCTAGGCAACCTGACTTTGAACGCCTTCAGGAATGGGGCATCCACAAATTAATCTGGGTAGCAAGTGCCTCACCACACTGAGTAAAGAATTTCTGCCTAACATCTAACCTAAATCTTCTCTGTTTTAGTTTAAAGCCATTCTGCCACATTCCCACTTACTATCAGACCATGTAAGAAGTCAGTCCATACCTACTGAAGCGTGTTCTTCTCTCTCATTTATCAGAGGAGGTACACTCTCCTTTTCCTGTCTCTTCTGACCATTGTACCTGTACAATCCTTAAAGTTATTTTTCACATCCCTTGTCAAATTCATTTCTTCACACCTTGGTCTTCTTGATCCCATTGCTGCACATCCAGATGGCGTCCCTGTGCTCTTCCCATGTCATGTGTACAGGCAGTAGAATAAGGGATGCTGTCCCTATTTTTCCTCAGTTTGACCAGCAGGTCCTTGCTCAGCTGTGCCAGAGAAGCTGTGCCTTCTCTACTTGATTTCTTGTACCAGAGAATGAGAAGCTCTTGTGCTCTCAGAATGGCATCCTTTAGAAGCTGCCACCTCTGCTCCACTCCTTTGTCCCTAAGGAGAACTTCCCAGGGGATCTCATCCAGTAGTTCCTTGAACAGCTGGAAGTTAGTTCTCCTGAAGTTCATGATCCTGACTTTGCTTTTTTTGCTAGGCCCTTGTTCCTTCAGATCCCAAGCCTAACCAGGGCATGATCACTACAGGGTGCTTCCAGTCTTAACCCCTTTAATGAGTTTATCTGCACTGATGACCACCAGATCCAGTAACACTTCTCTGGTGAATTTGTCTAATACCTGTACAAATAAGTTAGCTTTATTTAAGATATTTGAGTTTCATATGGCAGAAGGAAGAACTGTTTTGTAGAGAGTGACCTACTTTATCAAGAGCAGAGCTGCTGACTCTGGACTGTGTTTACAGAGGTGGTTTCTGCTGTGTGATGTGTCTGTGCATATGTAAAAATGTTTGGATTCTGCAGGTCTCTTATTTCGGATAGTCATGTATGATTAGGGCACAATGATACACTGAATGGTGTGCTTAGGAGGTGAGGAAATGTGCACAATGGAAAAAAATAAATATCTGGTTTCCCTGTTTCATAGGAGTGGTCAGTATATAAATGAGAAAGTAGTGTTAAGTATTTAGCGTTTGGGTTTTTTTTTTTCCAGACAAGTTTGCTCTAGTTAACTCCTATGTGGTGTTTATGTCTGCAGGAGAGGGAGTTCCTGAAGAACTATGTGCAACGGATAGTTGATGTCAGGCCTAATTTGGTCCTTGTTGAAAAGACTGTGTCTCGAATCGCCCAGGACATGCTGCTAGAGCATGGTATCACCTTAGTCATCAATGTCAAGCCGGTGAGTGTTTCATGTCAGAGTCTACCTTACAGTGGAACTCTTAACTTCTTCTTGTAGCAGGCTCCTTGAAGAAAGCACAGAAAAATCATTTATTTTCTCTCCTAAACAAACCACTGCTTTTCTTTTAATGGCAATTCAATTCCAAGACATAACAGGTAAACCTAGAATGTAACTTTTCCTCCTGCTCTCTGCTGTGCCCTTGCTGGCAGGTCTTTATACTGAATTGATTCGAGTTAATTCTGACTCCTATTTCTCACGCATGCTCAGTGGACTCCTGCGATCCGCAAAAGGCCCTCTGTTGCTGTGAGGCAGGGTGAGCCAAGCAGAGTTTGTTGTCCTGACAGACAGCCCTACACTGACTGCACTGTATCTCCTGGAACTTCCTTCACTTGAATGGGTTCAGTTGCCTTCATGAAAGGGCTTGACTTTCTCTCTCATCAGTAATATTTGTCAGAACTCTCTTAAAGTTTTATTTGGGGATGGAAAGTGATTGGATGACTAGATTTAACTCAGAGCTTAAAAAATAAGAGGTAACTGTAGATTCTTACTGTTCTTATTTTCACAGCAAGTTTTAGACCGTGTAAGTCGAATGACTCAGGGAGACTTGGTGATGTCAATGGATCAACTGCTGACCAAACCACGTTTGGGAACCTGTCATAAATTTTACATGCAGGTGTTTCAATTGCCCTATGGTAAGTAAAGCTTGTTGTATCCTGCTTTGTGTGCATGAGACACTGTGTTTTGTTCTTAACAAGATCTGAACAATCATGTGCTTTGTATGATCAAGTATTATTCTTCCTATTAATTTCTTTTCTTTTGCTACAACTAGGAATAAAAGTGTTGTTAATAATATTAATAAATATAAATAACATTAATAAAAGTGTGGATGAAAAAACTTGATCAAGAAGTGCAAGGTCTCCCTATCTTACTAAGATGAGAGATGTTAGTTTTTAATTAGGTTGGATTGTTTCTTCTAAATTGGTTTTTTTTTTTTTTTTTTTTTCCTCCTTCCATTGCCCTGGAGTCCACTGTCCAACTTCTTATTTAAAATAGGAAGGGTTAACTTTAGTGCTAGATAAGATTTCCCAGGGTCTTCTCAGCAAAGTGTTGAAAATAGTGCAGGATAGAGATTTCATGATCGGTCTGTGCACCTGTTCAGCAGCTTAGCCATCCTCACTGTAAGTAATATTTTCACAAAACAAGATTGACTGTAGTTGTTATCCTAATGCTTGTATTTTGCTTTTCTGTTTTTTTTTTTTTTTTGTTTAGATCAAACAAAAACTCTAATGTTCTTTGAAGGGTGTCCTCAGCACCTGGGTTGCACTATCAAGTTGTGTGGTGCTGCAGAGTATGAACTGGCCCGTGTGAAGGAGATCTTGATCTTTATGATCTGTGTGGCTTATCATTCCCAGCTGGAAATCTCTTTCCTTATGGATGAATTTGCCATGCCCCCTACTCTCACCAAAAACACTTCCTTTCACTCCCTTATCGAGGAACCAGGAGATGAAAATGAACAACAGGACCTGTTCAATGGTGAGGATTTCAGCACGACGATCAGAGACATTGAACCCTCAGCTGAAAAGCTTCCTGTGATCTCTGAATCAGTGTCATCTGATGAGGTCACCCTGCTTGAACAAAGAGGTTTATTTGAGAGAGGTGACCAAGAAAACAGTCAGCTGGAATCAGTGCCCTCAAAACAGCAAGAGTACCACAAAATGGAGTCGTCGTTTCCAGTGTTTCACTCTGTACCTCCGGTAGTGCCTGAAACATCTCTGCTCCCCCTCCATGGCATGGACCAACACTTGGTGACTCTGGACAGCCAGCCACTAGAGCCTGTTCAACAGGCAGATGATCTGCAGGAATCCAAGAATCAGATGAGAGTCTTCAGAGACCCTCTCCAGGATGATACTGGTTTATATGTTACGGAAGAGGTAACGTCTTCTGAGGATCGTCTCAAGACGTACTCCACAGCATTTAAGCAAGAGCTGAAAGATGTTATTCTCTCAATTTCTCCTGTAATGGTGTTCCGTGAACCATTTCTATTGACTGAAAAAGGCATGAGATGCCCTGCTCGAGAATACTTCCCTGAGCAGGTTTATTGGTCTCCTCTCCTTAACAAGGAGTACAAGGAGTTGGAGAGTAGAAGGAAGAGACAGTTATTGCGGGATCTCTCTGGACTACAAGGGATGAATGGGAGTGTCCAAGCCAAGGCTATCCAAATTTTACCTTCCCATGAGCTGGTCAGTACTAGAATAGCAGAGCATCTAGGTGATAGCCAGAGTTTAGCCAGAATGCTGGCTGACTATCGAGCCAGGGGAGGGAGGATACTACAGAGAAGCACAGATCCCTTTGCCCAAATGAAGGATGTATCCAGTGTCCCTGCTGGAAGAACCGGATGCAAAATTGAAGAGGATGAGAAAGGACTGGCTCAAAATGAATCCTCCTGGTCTCATAAGGTAAGATCTATGCTATACAAACCACAGTTACATCTGTTTCCCCTGGTAATACAGAACATGTAGTCTTTTATGCCAAATGTTGAACCAGAGGCTTTTTTTGACTAAGTCAAAGCCATTTTAGATTGCAGTGCTCTGGGCACTTAAGCTAACATAACCAAGGACTAGGTGAATATGAGAGAAACTGAATGGGGAACTGACTGCAAAATTTCCCTGAGAAGGGAAAAGCTTGTGAGACTCAGTTTAGTATTGACTATTCAGCTCAGCTGCATATGACTGATTCCAGAGAACGTGGAGGGGGCAGAAACTTCTTTTCTGAAACAACTTTTCTGTGCTTGTACTGATTTCTAAAGGTGTAAGAGGGCTTAATTCCATGGAAGCAATAGTAGACTGCAATTCCATTCAAATATTTGTAAAGTATTGGGAGATTTGGAGAAATATGATAGTGTCTTAATGGAGGGAGTGGTATCTTGTCAGAAATTACCAAGTAAGACAGTGTACTTGAAAACAAAAATATTTAAAGACAGGGGAAACTGTTATGACAGCTGCTGATTTGTATCTGAGGTCTTGGGACTTTCTTGCACTGGGAACTATACACAAAAAGGTGTCTATGACAAGAGTAGCAGAACTGGTTTCTTGTAATAGCAATAGGTTTGGGTCCTGAGCCACTGGTAGCCCCTAAGTTCATGAGCAGAAGTCATATTTTAATGGATGCTTAAATATACACCTGTGTAGCTTCACAGGCAGTAGTCTTACAGGCTGTAGGAGTAGCCATTACTCTACTTGTCTGTGCTGTTTTAAATTTACTCAGTGATCAAAGAAAATATTTGGTGACTTCATAGCTCTGTAAGGTGTGGAAAGGGAGATGGTTCCATTCTGGCAGCAAAGTGGTAAATCCCTTCACAGAGAAGAACAGAAAATTGAAAGCCTTTCTGTAGCTGCAGTAAGTGATTAACATATAATGGCAAAGATTTGCCTTCAAGTTGTGCTAAAGTGTACAGTGTTTTGGAGATGCTGCACATCTGTCTTGGGGCTTTGATTGTTTCCTGTTTTTTGTCCGTTTAGCTTCCTTTCCACAGTAACATATATGCATACACTGTTTTTATTACACATACTAGTTATGTTCTTCTAAAAATGGCCAGTTAATACTTTTGTCTGATAATGTAAAGTGAATCCGTGGAAAAGGAATAAGCAGGAATTTGTCCTTAAATCTATCAGAATATAATTCTCTCATTGGTTGTGTGTGGATGGAGATGTCTGTAACCAATGAGTGAGTTGTTTTCTCTCAACCAGGTGGATTGCTTGAGTCCAGTAAACCATCAGAGGCTCTGTGTTCTCTTCAGTAGCTCTTCTGCGCAGTCCAGCAATGCTCCAAGTGCCTGTGTCAGCCCCTGGTAGGAAAAATACTCTTCTGTAGCTTGTGTAGTTGCTGTCTTCTTTCCAAAGACAAGGTCAGTCCTTGCATCTTAACATATTTCACTGAGGACTCCTTTGTAGGTTTTAATCATTCTCTAATGGGAACTGTTGCCAAAATTTCCTCTTGCCTGATCAGGTGGATCCAGAGCTGCATCTCACAGCCTTTGTAATCTCAGGCCTGAAGGAGAAGGCCCAACATGAAACAGAATGCTTTAGTTAGATCTTTGACTGCAGAGATCTGTATGTGTAGGGAGGGCACTTCTTTAGGCTGCTCTGTGAGGAAGAGTTAGTGTATGTAAATAATGTCCAAGCTTAAAGATAATAATCTCAGAATACTTATGGGTTGTATTACTGGGAGAGGGATTTGAAAATACTGCTGTCTTGCTTATAAAGTCAACAATGTTAAGACTTTCATCTACATTTTTAGCTAAGAGGGCTGTGACTTGTTGATTATGCAGATCTTATGATGTGCTGTCATTGCTACTCCTTGGACAAGTCTTGATGTTTCATTGTCTAAACCAAGTGAAATTTTATAGATGCCTTTCTTGAAAAAGAAGGTCTCGAGTTCCTATAAAAGCTGAGGAACGAACCAATGAAGGTGATAAGCTCACTTAAAAGCAGCAATAAAATGATGTAATTATATTAGACAGAAATATATGAATTGGCACTTCAGTTGATATTTGTCTGTTAAGTGTCTTGGTCACTTCAGATTCTGAGAAATAAAATGCTGCTGTTAAATTTTATTCAAGTACTTTCAGGCTTTTTTCACCTTCTAGATGTGCTCTTTTTGTAACTGTTCGGATGTTAATGTTCTATGCCTAGGTGTTCTTGAAAATATTCTTCAAAAGTACAGTTGAATTGTATCCCACTTTTAAATATGAAGTTTAAAGTTGTTCCTTGTATCTCATTAGTGAACTTGTCAGCAAGAACTTGGGAATAGTAAAGGCTTGTAGTGGGGAAGCCTGTGAGTGTATACAGGGCTGAAAATAGCCAAGCAAAAGGTGCAGATCTGTGCACCTGCAGGCCATTGCACAATTAGCAGTGGCAGAATTCTTCCTCTAAAGCTTTTCTTCCTTCTCTGCTTTAGGATTGTGACCATGGAATTCTACGGAAAAAATGACCTGACTCTAGGGATTTTTCTGGAGCGCTACTGTTTTAGGTGAATTAATTGTATATCTCATTCTAAACCAAATAGAGTGTCCCATGTTAAGTGAGTCACTCTGTCTTCATAGTTCCAGTATTTTTTTTATATGAACAAGAAAGTAGTTGAAATAAAACAACTCTTACTGCGTTTGAGAAATTTCCTATTTGATTCTGGTACCTGAGGAATTCTGCATTGGTTTTTCTGGTACCAGTTTCTGTGGTGACTTGAGAGATGACCAAAGAAAGATCATGGATTTTTCTGATCAAAGAGGTTATATGGCACTATTTTGCATACCTCTTCCTTTGGGATCTGAAGCTTTAAGATTTTGAGGGCTCCTTGGCATATTTTTGCCCCCCATAGCCTTTCCTCTGGTACATTGCCGAAATGCTCTTCTAATTTGGTATCAAGCACTTCCAGTGTGTGTGTAATATGTTGGTAGAAACAGATTCAGTAATAGAAACAGTAAAAAATAATAAGAAAAAAAAGACTGTGATAGCTACTGTGATAGCTACCAGTATCCAGTCACTATGTTGTGACCAGTACAGATATTGCTGGCAGGGGAGACTCCCTACATGCTGTTCCTAAATGAGAACAGTAAGCTGTGTAGCAATAGCTTTCGTTAACGGCTTAGGAAACTTTTTATAGAAAAGATTAATAGTACTGTGACATTAAAAGCCATACTAGATGAGTTGAACCAACTCTTCAGCGGTGTGTTGCATACGATCCTTCATAGGTGTTTCCGTTTTTCTCTGTAAGGCCTTCATACCAGTGCCCCAGCATGTTCTGTGAAACGCCAATGGTGCATCACATTCGTCGCTTTGTGCATGGGCAAGGATGCGTGCAAATTGTGTTAAAGGAGCTGGACTCCCCAGTCCCTGGGTACCAGCACACAATTCTTACTTATTCCTGGTGTAGGCTGTGCAAACAGGTAAGGATGAGAACTTAAGAATCAGTTGGGTGTGTATGGAAAGATGGGATTGTGCAAAAGCTGTTACAAAAGCTGGTGCCAAGTGGTCCTGTTTGTCTACAAATTCCTCCTGTAGAATTGGAAACACTGAGGATAAAATGTAGTATGATGCAGGTGTATTGCAAAGTATCAGTCCTGAAAGGATAGGCTTAAGTGAAATTGATGTATTGTTGGTAACAAGTTTCTGACATAGGAAAAACTAGGGCTGTCCTTTCAGAGGTGGAGAGCATTGTCCCTTCCATGTTAATCTGTACAAGCATCAGAAGAATGTGTGTGTGGGAAAGGGTAGATGTTGAGACCTCCTGGCTTAGTAATTGGCTAAACCCACTTGGTATTCTTTGATCTGCTTTGAACTGGACAGTCAGCATTGAGTCAGTGTGAAGTCTAGACTTCCTTTAGTAGGCATTAGAAAGAAAAAGAAATCTTCATTAGAAAGATGAAAAACCACAACATAATAAGACTGTGTATTATCTGAAACTTGTTCTTTAATTAAACTAAGAAAAACATTACCAGCTGGATATTCTTCTCTAGCCAACCTTTCTGTAAATCTTAGTATCCTTCTAAGAGAGATGAGTATAAAAAGATTCATGCAGTGCCTCAAACTCAAAACATCTTAATTATCTGTGCTAATGACTCAGTTCGCCTACTTAATAGTGGCTTAAACATAGGTGTTGGACTTAAAGGTATCTAAAAGAAGTTAATGTAGTTGCTGAAGGCAAGCCCTACAATCCTTATGTATACACTGCCCTACACTGCTTGTGTATATTCTGTAACCTTTTATTACTGTGTGCTCATGTAAACATTAAGTTTGTAGCTATTAAGTGTAAATGGCTGCTTCAAGCTTGGAAGCACTGCTGAGGTTGAAATACACCGCAGAGTATTTGTAGATGAAGAATCACTAGGGAAAAAGTATGTGATGAAAACACTGCTGCTGACTGGTCTGCTGGAAATTCTCTGTATACGAGAGTAGCATGCCAGATAGAATGATGTGTTTGTGCTCCCCCAGCTTAGTGGCTGTTAATATCAACTGGCATTTATTGTTTATCCAGTTTATTGTATCCATCTGTGCATTGTTTAGCTCTGTATAAACAATTTTTTAGTTGTTTTGGTATCTTTTGGGGTTATGACTGCTTCTGGTACTAATAATTACTAGATTAGAGTCTAGATTAGCCTGTCTTATTTTCTGGTTGAAGAGTGAAATTAAGACACTTTGCTTTCATTTTCAGGTGACACCAGTTGTTCCTCTTTCTAGTGATTCTTGGTCTATGTCTTTTGCAAAATACCTTGAGCTGAGATTCTATGGGCACCAGTACACACGAAGGGCCAATGCAGAGCCTTGTGGTCATTCCATTCACCATGACTATCACCAGTATTTTTCTTACAATCAGATGGTGGCATCTTTCAGGTGAGGTCCTCTGGTTATTAATAAATGAATTCGTTCTCTAGTACTGTGTGAAGCACGTGGCTCTGACAAAAATTCCTTGAGTCTGTCCCTCACAGGGTAAAGCAAGGGATAGCATGACACAGATTGTGTGCTGGCATGCAGAGTGCATTGTAGCTGCCATCACTGTGGTGGATGAGGCAGACAATATATCTAAGAATAGCCATAGAATCATAGAATTGTTGATAAAAATACCGAAGAGCGCCTGTCCCAAGACAGACTCATGGTGGACACCACTTATGACCGGCTTCCTCCTGGACATAGAGCCACTGACAACAACCTTGTGGCTATGACATCCAACCAATTATTTATCCACCTAATAGTCTAGCCTTCAAATCCATCTCTCCTATTTAGAAATAGCCATGTGACATGGGGCTGTGAATTGTTCCAGTAGATGATGCTGAAGGGAAACACTTCTGCTTTGCATAATCTACAATACTTTCAGAACTCTATTCTGAAGCTGAAAGAAGTTGTGCATATACCTCCATATGAGGAAAATTATTAAAAGTTGTCACATTCTCTTCTCAGCTACTCTCCAATCCGTCTACTTGAAGTATGTGTCCCACTACCCAAGATCTATATCAAACGGCAGGCTCCGCTGAAAGTTACGATTTTGCAGGACCTTAAGGACTTCTCTCAAAAGTAAGCTTTGATTTTTAACTTATTTGTATTTTGGACTTCATAGCAAAACACAGAAATATATGTGCTGACATAAGTAATACACTTGCTAAATATTCGTAATTAAAAATAAATGCATTTAAAATCATTACTTTTCTGGTTGGATGTATTTGTAAGGGAGAGTAGCACTGGAGTGCTCTTTCCTATCTTTACCAAATTCCATCAATACCAATTCTTATCTCTTTGTCTGTTGCAGTTTAGCTTAAGAATCTTGTCTTCTACTGGCTGTGTTTATTGTAATCTCTGACTGCTGCATTGTTATGAGTGATCTAGCATGTTTCCATACTAATAGACAGTCTAGAATGCTTTTGTGGTCTGAGTCGAACTGCTGTAGGCGTAGACACCTTCTAAATGTAGGAACAAAAGTGTGGAAGACAGGCATGGTGGAAGAAACTATCTTAATTCTAACCTGATTGCTGTTTGACCTGATGGCAGCTTTCCTGTTTGGCTGACTTCTCCATGACTGCCTGACTTCAGAAATTGTCTAGTTTTGTTGAGAATGGAAATGTTTTATTCTCTCTCATCCCTGCCGGTGGTGTTGGTTTAGCTTGCAGTCTGACAGTATCCCCAGGCACCAGTAGCACAACAGCTCTGTTCTGCTAGTAATGCAGTTGTGACCTTTCAATTGCTCTCTGAAAACTTCTGCTGCTAAGAATAAGCTGTGGTGAAGGATGTTATGGTGTGTAGTTTAGAGATTTCTACAGCATGGATGGATTTTTTTTTTTTCCAAAAGTCATGGTGAATTCAGTGGGACATCCTACTGTGCAGAAAGCTGTCATATATCATCTTTTGTATTCTGAAACTCGAACTGTAAGCACGTTCAGATTTCTATTAAAGAATGTTGAAGTTGTTTCAAGTAATCACAGCTTAACTCTTTGTATTCCTGTTCTCAGGGTGTCACAAGTGTACCTTGCTGTTGATGATCGCCTTGCTTCTCTGAAAACTGACACTTTCAGCAAAACAAGGGAAGAGAAAATGGAAGATCTGTTTGCACAAAAGGAGGTAATGGATTACCTCTGAATTTACAGAGCATAGGCTTTAAAGGTGTGGAGAAGCCAGTTGGATCGAGCGTTATGCTGTGTGACAGAATGCTGACAGTTTTTGTTTTGGCAGATGGAAGAGGGGGAATTTCGAAACTGGACTGAGAAGATTCAGGCAAGGCTCCTTTCATCATCACTGGACACACCTCAACAGCTTCAATCTATTTTTGAGTCTCTGATTGCTAAAAAGCAAGGACTCTGTGAAATGCTGCAAGCCTGGAATAGTAGGTAAGAGAAGGGATGCTGTAATGGTAACATCAGTGCTCTGCTGATACTGTAAGGGAAGAAGTTCTATGCTTTTTCTCCCTCTAGTGCAATTACTATACATGTACGTAGTGCTGAATACCCTTTAATGGCTGGTTGACTGGAACAGAAAATTGTTTAAGGCTGTGTGATGTTGTAGAGCACAACTTTTATCTGAGGTGGGAAAGTGTCATTTGAACCAAGGTGGAAGATGGAAGCATGTAAAAGCAAGTGAGTGAAATGGTCTCAGGTGGGCACATGCCAAATGAAATGCTTAAGATGACTTATTTTTCTGTTATTTTGAAGACTTTGCACTCGTAGAGTAGCTGGGATGTGGTGTTTGCAGTGTCTCTTGTTGCTGTAGTGCTAATCAAGGCATGAGGGAAAGATTTTCTTTGGCCATAGAACACGGCTTCAGCACGTGTTAGCAGTCATCTTAGTTTGTGTTAAAGGCTTGTGAAGGCATGCTGGGTTGTATTCTAATATGGAGAAACATAATTTTTGCCTTTTAGAGCTAGTATGTGTAACCTGTGTTTTGAGTTTATTTTTTTTTAATTTTTTTTAAAAGGTTGCAGGATCTTTTCCAGCAAGAGAAAGGGAGAAAACGCCCCTCAGTACCACCTAGCCCTGGAAGACTGAGACAAGGTGAAGAAAGCAAGGTACAAGCAGCAGGCTGGACATTACTTAAACATTTGTTCTGCGGGAGCACTAATGTCTAAAGTTCAACTTCAGTTCACTTTAATAATTAGTTAACTTGTGTTACTGCATTGTTTAATTTTCATATGTAAACATCTGAATGGCATGTTGTCTACTCTAGCTTCTTCTAAAGACATAAACCATAAACACATAAACCAAGATCTATATTCTACAGAAGAAGATGGCTGAGAATATGATATTAGTGTGTTTTTCTCTTATGCTTCTGGACAGTTGAAATGAATACTCACAACAGAGCTGTGCTCGTTGTCAAGGTTGTGTCTAGATAAGAGGTCATCTTGTTAGAGGCTGGACTGGATGAAATACACTGAGAGAAAGCGGCACAGGAACTATTATCTATTAATGTTATTCCTTATGAAAGAGAAAAGGCAAAATATCAGGAGAGGCAGAGCAAAGAATGCAGGGAGAATGATAGTAAATTTGTAAGTTTGTCCCTAATTTGGTGATATCTGTGGGAACGGGCAGGGAGGATGTGTACATGATCTTGAACTGTTGCACCTCTGGCTGTGTGTAAGGATACAGTTGCCAGCATGCTGAACAACTACCTTTGTGGAGCTGATACTCTGAGGAAATGTCCAGACTGCAAGGCAGCACAATACAAGTGTTGCACAGGGAGGCTGACCTCCCAAATAGGTAGCTAGCAAAATGCCCAAAGAAACCTGGTAGCACTCTGGTTTGCTCAGCTGCATGCATTTGTGTCCTTTCCACATAAAACACTTATTAATGCTAAAACATGCTTAGCCTTCAGTTAGCTGTAAGCTTATGTAGAAGAAGAGTGTTATCTTTAAAGCAGCATGTAGAGGTGATAGCAGGCATGAGCAGTCTTGTGAAACTAGATTGCTGTTGCTTTGTCTCTTTCATATACTGGTAGAGGCAGTGATGTGCTGAATCTGAGAACAGTGGGTAGGAATGCTCTGCTGTGGTACATCAGGTTTTGCAATTGTTCCACAGCAAGGAAGGGATATAGCTTTAAAGAGCCTGGTGTCAACATTGATCACCTGATGTTCTTCCTAGATCAGCAGCATGGATGCTTCCCCACGCAATGTTTCTCCAGCACTCCAAAATGGAGAAAAAGGTACATTATCTATTTTTCTTAAGATATGAAAAGATGTTTGTTGTAACCCTTTCTCTGGCGATGTAGGAGTCATAACTGAAGATTTGCATGGCATGTGGGATGTGCATCTATTCCTTGAGGTGTTGGTATATGATGAGACCCTTCTTTACTGGGAACTGAAGACACTGGGTGCTTAAGTATATTCATCTTGTGGAGCTTATGTGTACACTGATCAGTGCGGGTTGTTTTGCTCTGGGCATTCCTACCTGCTTTCTAAGTAAAAACTTCTTGAAAGTAGACACTGGTGATGGCTTAGCCTGAAGGCAAGCAATTTTGCTTCTGATAGCCATATAAAATGCTTTCCTTTGTCCTTAATCTTCTAGAGGATCGTTTCCTGACTACTTTATCAAGTCAGAGCTCCACAGGCTCCACCCATCTTCAGTTGCCCACTCCTCCAGAGGTTGTGTCTGAACAACTAACTGGTGCCAACACACTTTCTGAACAGGATACAACCAGTAGCTCAGAAGGTACAGTTCAGTTTTGATCTTGTATTCGTTATTGTATTCACAAGTGTATGAGATCTACTTCGAAAATGGCAAATATGGTAACTTTGTGGTCTACCACCTTGCTCCCAAATGTACAGTGTAAAGCTTGTGGGCAGACTGAACTTACCTCTGTTTCAGATGTGTTTGATGGACACTCCCTGGGATCTACTGACAGCCAAGTGAAAGAGAAGTCTACTATGAAAGCTATTTTGGCTAACTTACTGCCTGGGAACAATTACAACCCTATTCCATTTCCCTTGTAAGTACTGCATAATACATATGATGTACAAACAAGTAGCCTGGTAAAACTGTAGACAGAGCTATGCGTGCTTTTTTTGCTTTGTATATAATTTAAGTCATTACTGGGTTTGCATCCAAATAAGCTGATCTTCCACAAGACAAGAAATTTTCCTTTCCTTTCCTAAGTGTTTGTAGGTTGCCCCCTTTTCTTATTAGTGACCCAATCCTTCTTCTATTATACCCTTGTAGAATCGTGGGCTCTGCCCACTAGGTCACATCCCACTGCCCAATGCAAAGCTCAAACCTATGGTCCTGACCCTTTTATCAGATTCTCTTTTTCCTAGTAGGCATGCCACTCCAGAAGTCTTTTAAGAGGGGAAAGAGAGGTGCTTTCTAACTTGCTTCAGGGAGGGAACAGAAATGTCCTTCTGTAATAAAGACTTACTAAAGCTACATGCCTGCTTCTTCTTTTTGCTTCCAGACCTCTCCCAAGGGTTGGACTCAAATGGGCATTGTCTGGGTGTAGGTCAGGTTCAGTGGCTGCTGCATGTGCCCTCAAGTCCCTCTCACGTGAAAATGAGCAGGCTGGAAAGTTTTTTCAGCTACTCTGTCTGTATGTGTTGTAGCGTTTCTTGTTTGACATGAACCTAATGTTTGGCAGCCTAAGTTTAAAATCTGACTTCTACCCTGAGGTAGCAGTGGAGGTCACGGGCTAGTAAGGTAAAAGTTAAATGACAGAATCTTATAGGGAAGTTAAAAAAAATCTGATGGAAACTCAGGAGGCTTTGGGGAGGTTTCTGAAATTTTTTTTTGCCTCCTAACTTCACTTTGCAGACTATTCTGTAGGACAGTTAAAGCAAACTGGCAGGTTTTAGTGCCAATAGAAACAGTGGCTGCTAAACAGAAATAGACTTTAACTTAGAGCTGGTCCTCTGATACTAGAAGCTTGCTTGACGTGATGATTGCTCTAACACATTACCAGTCAGATTTAACCACACAGCTAGCTATGAGTGCGCCTCTTGGGAGACGCTGATCTGGAACGCTTTGGCTCTGTGCTAAGACTTGCAGCTTGTGCCCAGAGTGCAGTGAAGAGATTGGGTTTTGACCAAAAATTAACCTTTTCATAAACTTCTGTGCTCTGCTAACAGTCTCTGTATTCCATTTTCATCCAGTGACCCAGATAAGCACTACCTAATGTACGAGCATGAACGCATACCTATTGCAGTCTGCGAGAAAGAACCAAGCTCCATCATAGCTTTTGCTCTCAGGTACTGGTGTTACTTGCTCTTCATCTGAAACGTTATATTCTGGAACTTTTCTGTTCAGGGAATACTTAAATCCTAATGGGAGGAAACAAGCATGACAATTCAATCACTCAGCTGCTTTGAGAGTTTCTGACAGAGCTGAAGTTGTCTACTTATACTGCTGAGATATGGAATGTAGGTTTTCCAGCTTTCAGTTGCATTTCGGGCTTTTTCTACCTGCACACGAATGATTTAATTATGGTGTTCTGTTGAAGCTAATGGTGATAGAAGAAGAAATAAATGCAGTGAAATAAAGTGAATGAAGTTAGCTCAATTCTCTGGTGCGGAGACAGTGCAACTGAACTAAGGAAACTGACTGACTATTTGTAAAACAATCTCTCCCTTGCCTGCCTTCAGTTACAGCAGCTACTGCTCAGCTCTGCAAACCAGCTACTTCAGTAGACCTTGGAGCTTTCTTGGCACCAGACAATAGATACTCAAAAAGACTTTGAGTAGCTCGTTCTTAAATTGCAGAAGCAACAATGTTAGAATTTTTCCCGCAGTACAATCTGAAGCAGCAGCTGTCATAAAGGAAATAATCCTAACTGTTAGGAAAAGTAATGGAAGCATTTCCTACTGTAGGTTTGTTTGCTGTCTCTGAACTGAATCTTTAAATTGGTGTAGCGGGGTTTCCCAGAGAAAAAACTTTTACTTATTTATTTTCATTTCTTTATCTTTTTCTCCTTCAGTTGCAAGGAATATAGAAATGCCCTTGATGAGTTGTCCAAAGCATCTCCAAAAAACGGTACTGAAGAAGGACTACAGGCAAACAGGTTAGATGTAGGGACTACATTATATGGAAGAAACTATAGTAACAAAGTAGTTGTTGTAAAGCAGCCACAGGGAGGACCTAGAGAATATGCCGCTGTTAGTATCTCTGCATTCTGATTGGAATCTGGCTCTGCTGGCTCACTCACCTGTCCCTTGACGTGTGATAGGAAGCACTGGCCTTGTTTAACTTGCCTGTGATGATGGAAGCAACTGTTGCTAAGGTGCTCTGAGAGGTTTTGTCAGAGAGGAGAAAATGAACATCTCTGAGGAGTTCTGTATTGTCACAACTTCACACTGTATCCTTTTCCCTTAGCAGCATGTGCTGCTAGGCATGGAGGAGAAATAACTAGAATCTTAGTATCACCAAGATTGAAAAAGATCTCCAGGATCATCCGGTCCAGCTGTCCACCTATCATCAGAATTTTCCACTGGACCATGTCTCTCAGTACAGCATCTGAATGTTTCTTGAACACCTCCAGGGCTGGGAGCCCTGGGCAGCCTGTTCTGACTGACTTTATTATTTCCTAGTGTCCAATCTGAATCTCCCCTGCACAACTTGAGGCTCTTCCCTCACGTCCTATTGCTAGTTGCGTGGGAGAACAGGCTGACCCCCACCTTGTCACAACTCCCTTCCCTTTACAATGGGAGTAAAGCAGTAGTGTCTCAGCTGTTTGTTGCCCTTACTATGACATTTTTCCTTGCAGTACATCAGATGGCAAACCAAAGAGTGGTAGTCCTGTGCGCCTGCCTGAGGCTAATATGGGTCCTTCAAATCGTGCTGCTGAAGTGGAACAATGTAAGACATTTTCAAAGTCCTGTATATGATATATTAATTTCAGACTTCAGTCTATTCAATCTGTTTGAACTCTTCTGAAAGTTGTTATAACAGAGGAAATGCGGTCTGAGTACCATCATCTTGTTCCAGCTGGGCTTGCTGAGTTTTGTCCTATTTAAATTGTGACTTGTCTTGCAGTCAACTTGAACATATTGTATTTTTTTGTAAGTCTCTGTTCATAATAGCTTTCTCTGATTCTTAAGAGATAATGTTACCATCCTATGCTTTAATGTGTTATTGCTATATAATGGCGCATAATTTATTCTTGGGCCGAACATATGCAGTGGGGCATGATGCCTTTATGTTCTGACCTCTTCAGCTCTGCCTTGTCTAAAATGACACCAAATATTTTCAGATAGAGAGGCAGGTCCTCACACTTTCTGTGTGGCTTTGGGATGCCAGTGGGATAGGCTTCTGTGTTGTACTCCTCCTCCACCATTTTCTTTATGGCTCGTGCTACAATTCCTGTTTTGAATTGTATTTGTTGCATTTGAAATGTTGATGCTTCAGACAAGCAAGCAGAAACAGTGACTGGAGCTTGTATTTATTGTTCTTGTGAAGTGTGCTCTCTTGAATGACTCCATCATTCCACAATGTCATTCAGAACATTAAATCTGCTGAATGGACAGTGGTTGCCTGAAGAATTGCAGGTTTGCTGGGTGATGTCACCCCTCCAGTTAGAACAATGAATGGAGAATGCTTGTCTGACTAAAGCCTTTATTAAACTGCTTCTGGTAATGCCAATACCATCTTGTTTATTCTTTTTGCTGTAGCAAAGAAACCATCTAGTGTTTTGTCTTTCTTCCGTGGCACGGGAGGGAAGAGCCCAGACCTGTCTTCCCAGAAGAAGGAGACGTTACGTGGCGCTGATAGTGCCTATTACCAGGTTGGACAGATGGGTAAAGAGGGAGCGGAGAACCAAGGAGCAGAGCCACAAGGTACAAGGCTGCTGCTGTTGAATCCATGTTCTGTTTTGAAGTGCTAATTCTTCCAAACCTCACTCATACTTAAAAGGCCCAGAATACATTCCAGTTCATACTTCTTCAGTGGTTTTAACATTTTTCCAACCCCAGAATGCATTGAAAACGCATGACCAAAGCACAAAATGTAGATTTGTCCTAAGGATTTTGCTTTGCTTTTTAAAAGAAATAGAAAAAATAGGGGTTTTTAAACCCCTGTACCTAAAAGGACATTGAGTAGTTTGAATATAAATTGATTTCAGTTTATCAGCCCATGATATCTGTTATTTTAGGAGTTATCTCTTCCTTGCTTCCTGTTTAACTTACTGTTCATGCTCATGCTAAGCAAAGAGAGAAAACAAAGAGAAAACTTGTGTCCTAGGAATATCAGTATTCTAGCATACATATAAGTGCTGCTATGCCTCTAATTCTGTAGTTGCCAATGTATTCTTGAAGAAAATAAAGTAATTTTCTCATAATACAGATTTACAAGCATTGTCTTGCATGGCTCTTTAAATGATGATGATAAGGAAGAAGTCCTTTATGTTTTCAGATGAGGTGGATGGAGGAGATGGACAGAAGAAACAGCTGGTGAATCCCCATGTGGAACTCCGTGAGTTTTACATAATAACTTGAAGTCTGTGCTGACAAAACCCTTTTTCCTTGTGCATGTAATGAAAGTCTTCAGGTGGATTGCTCTATCTATAGCACTTCACATGTTTTTATTTTTTCTTACATAGCTGTATGAAAAAGGAGAGACAAAAAATTAATAGCAAGGCAATACCATTTTTGCTTGCTCTAATCCATGTCTAATGCAAAAAAAACTGCGTGATCTGCCTTCCTCCTCCATTTGGCTTGTTGTCCCTTTGGTGTCTATTGGGGGCTAACCTAAAGGAAGTTTTTTTTTTTTGTTTTCTTTCCTGCGAGCCTCTAATTTAAATTGTATTGATTTAAGTGCCCAAGGTACGATAGGTATTGGAGCAGGCTGTTAAAGGAAGTAATATATATATTTTTTTTTTTTTGACACATTATTAAAATCTGCTTCAGTGTCATCTCAGGTAGTGAGATTGCATACTGTTACTGAGGAAGAAGTTTTCTTGCAGAGTTCTCAGATGCGAATGCCAAGTTCTACTGCAGGATTTATTATGCTGGCGAGTTTCACAAGATGCGTGAAGTGATACTGGGGAGCAGTGAAGAGGACTTCATCCGCTCCCTCTCTCACTCGATGCCCTGGCAGGCACGAGGTGGCAAATCTGGGGCTGCATTCTATGTGACTGAAGGTAAAAACTGCTGCCTCGTCTTTTAGAATTAGAGGGTGGTGTTTAGAGCTGGTGATGATTAGTATGTTGTGTAATCTCTGATTACAGAGGATTGCTGACTGTTAAGTGGTCAGTCAGAATGGGAAGTTAGGTGGGTTGTTTGGAGTATTCAAAATCAGATTTTCTTGCTTTTTTCACTTTTTAAAAAATAAAATTAACGCGCAGGAGGAAAAAATGGAGTTCTATTTTCAGTATTGGCAGCTAGAGAGTCCAGTTGAGCAGAATATCACTTTTCTGCTAAGTGGATTTCAGTAAAAAAATTCAGTATACTTCAAGGAAAAATCTGATTGTTGAAGATACTATTTCTGATCATCTCACATGGCATACAATAAGATTTCCTTGTTTTCAACAGCATTTAATTTTAGTCTCTTGCTTAGAGGAAGTCTTGAATGGAAGGGTCTGTAGGCTGCTTTTATTGTATTCATATAAGGAGCCCATAACATTGAGTTAAATCCAACTTAGGCAGTCTCTTCTTTTTGGCTTACCAGCAGATTCAAATTTAGAATATAGCCAGAAAAGAATTAGAATATCTTCGGTAGCAAAGAGTTTAAGAGAATGGCAGTCTTTCAAACTATTTCAGTTGTATGGCTGTTCTAAAGAGCTTGCAAAAAAGTGTCACTCACAGTGTATCATCTGTCTGATATTAAAACAGATGATAGATTCATCTTGAAGCAGATGCCTCGCCTGGAAGTCCAGTCATTCCTTGACTTTGCTCCACACTACTTCACTTACATCACTAATGCAGTTCAGCAGAAGGTATTTTAAAAAGTGCTTTTATGTTTGGCTGTGTTCTGTATTTTATGGAGCAGTAGATGTTCCCATTAACTGTTTTCATTTAAGCAAAATGAATATCTGTTGGGGGATATGAGTTGTATTAAGAACATGTTCAAGATGAAACATGGGAATTTCACAGGAGATTCTAAGCTGCAATGTACAGTGGTACTTCTGAGATCTGATTGCTTGCCTGCATGCAGAGATCTTACCCAGAGTCTTTCCTTAATCAGAAGCCCACAGCACTGGCCAAAATCCTTGGGGTGTATCGAATTGGATATAAGAACTCTCAAAACAACACTGAAAAGAAACTGGATCTGCTTGTCATGGAAAACCTTTTCTATGGAAGGAAAATGGCTCAGGTAAGACCATGTGTGACCGAGTTTCTGTTCCACTACAGTGCACGCTCTTTCTGGGCTGAGAGCAATAGCAGACTTAATAGTAATTATCTTTTGCATATGCTCTAAGTTGGCAGTTAGTGCCTGTATTTATGTGATCCTCAGTAATTTGAGGACTAGATTGGCTCGTTCAGATAGCTGTAGTACATATTTCAGTTGTTAAGTCTTACTTGTCCATGAATATCTGATGTCTGTGAGAGCCTTACCAATTTAATTACAAAATGCTACAGTTTTTTGTAAAGCTTTCATGAAACTAACTAGTATTACCTCCTAATGTATTTAAAAGGAGAGCCTTACGTATGGTGACAGTGAAGGAAATTATGTACTAATGCTTTGAACGCACTGTTCTGTCTCCAAACTGTTTCACGCGTGTGATGAGGTCTTGAATTCAGCCTTGCTTTTTAGTTAAGGGAGAATGGCTTTTGTGAGGCAGCAGAGACCTTAAAGTGACAGGGACAGTCCTCTTGAAATACTAAGTTGGTGCTGAAAAGGAAACTGAAACAAATGTTATCTTCCCTCTAGTGTCTGACATCAAATAGGTGGGTAGTTATGGAAATAAAGATTATGGACTTTTTCCCTGGAGTTAATCAAGTCTTGATCGGCCTATTCTAACTGGACATGCTTCAAGTAGAGTGCTGGGCTAGAGACCTCCAGAGGTGTTTTCCAGTCAAGAAAGTATTCTATGGTCTGTCTCTTGTCTTGTCAACCCATGTTAAGTGATCCATCAAGCAAGGACCCACCTCCCTTCTTCAGTGTCTTTTGCTGTTGTCAGCATTTGAGTATGTAAGCTGGCTAGGAAACTGAGTTTGCCCATATGATTTAAAAATAGAGGTACACGTTTTCCCTTAGGTTAGACTGAACACTGATGAAATTACTTGCCTAAAATCTGAGATTTAAAGTTGCAGAGCTTTTGTATAGATTTATGTGCTACTCTGCACTTAGGGAACTGTTGTTTTTTTGCTGTATTAAATTTTGTTTGCTACCTTCCCTGTAGTGAGAAGGGAAGGGCTACCTTGCTGTGATCTCTGCTCAAACACTGCAGTCAAGCATGTTCAAGTCTTTAATCTTACAGAAGAAAGTGGAAAATGTAATGCTGTTCTGCATTTACAGGTTTTTGACTTAAAGGGCTCCCTCCGGAATAGAAATGTTAAAACAGACACAGGGAAAGAAAGCTGTGATGTCGTCCTATTGGATGAGAACCTTCTGAAGATGGTCCGTGACAACCCTTTGTACATCCGTTCCCACTGCAAGGCTGTGCTGAGAGCTTCTATACACAGTGATTCCCAGTTCCTCTCCAGCCACCTCATCATAGACTATTCCCTGCTGGTGGGTCGTGACGATACAAACAATGAGCTGGTTGTGGGGATTATTGGTAAGTTAAACGTTCCTTTTGCTTGCTTTTGTGAAACTCCTTTCTTCTGATTTCGGAAGAGCTCTTAGAACTGTATCACCACCACCCAGAGATGTGTGTTAAGAAAGCTTGTCTCCCAGCTGCTGGAATACTGCCCTCATCTGTTATGAGTGTTCACAGTGAAGGCAGGAAGTTTTGTTTTTCTCCAGCTCTTGTACCATTTGTGCTGTCATTTGCATTAGTGGAAATATATCTGGGAAACAATAGGAAGAATATATATGTGGGGCCTTACAGGTAGTGAGAAAACAATCAAGTTGATCTTTAACCTGCACTTTGACTCCAGTTGAAATGGAATTACCTGTGTGTCTTAGTATGTATTTAATCTTTAAAGTTATGTTCAATAATATTTATGTATCTGTTTAAATAGTAACTTCAGTGGAACAGATTTGAGTAGGAACAAACAGTGAGAAGTAGGGGTGGAAGAGGGAGATCAAATATTCTGAAATCACTCGCTATCTTGTAGCCTGACCGAGATAATGAGTGTCAAGCAGGTAATTCCCTTGCCGCATCCTCTGACTTGTGTCTGGAAAGTAGAGTGCCATGTTTAGGCAAGTAAGCTAGTTGTGTGCAAAAATCTTGGAAGTGATTAACATCATCTTAACTTTTGCAGACCTGAGTGTTTGTATGCTTGTAATCATTAAGCACATTCTTCTTAAACTGGTTTGGAAACAGTTCTGATCTCTTTCTTTGCAGCCTTCTTTTCCAGAGTCATTTGTATTTTCAGTCCTCCACTTCATGAGATGTAAAGTCTTAGATTTGCAGGTGGCTGCATTGATGAGGAATGCTGTTAGCCTAAATGGCTAGGTGTTCAAGTTTTGATGATACTAGCAGCTGTAGAAAAGTAATGGAAGCTGGTACAGCAAAGTGAGGCTTCTGATATGTTTCTAGTATGTTTCTAGGATGAAGGTCAGCTAGTGACTTTTTTTTTTCTTTCTTGTAGAAGTAGGACATTTAAGCTGTCATATTCGCCCCAGCCAAATAGAATGAATAATCTGAGAAGTGAAGCTGCTGTTAGGGTGAACACCTGAGTCCTTCTGGCTATGGAAGCCTACTGTATTTTCTTCCCTGTTAAAGGAGAAATTATGCATTTTAGAACAACACTACTTGGGTTGTAGCAGGTATGGCATGTCTGTGTATGGATTGCTTTTTTTTCTTACAACAGACTATATTCGCACTTTTACCTGGGACAAAAAACTTGAAATGGTGGTGAAGTCAACTGGCATCTTGGGGGGACAAGGTAAGGTTATAATTAAAAGCTTTATTTTTGTTCTGTTTACTTTTTATTTAGCTGGAAGCTTCTAATAACTGTGCTAGTAAGGCTGCAACTTCGTCCGTGCAAAATTGCACTTTAAATTATGTGGAGCAGAGGAAAGAATAAAAGCTTTCAGAAAAAAATCATGTATTTGTCTGCTTTCATGATAGACTGTTGAGGTACTCTAATGCCTGAAAATGAGGTGTAGTCATCTACTTATCAGGCTGTTCTGTTTTGTTTCATGGTTATCCAGTGCTCACAAAAACAGAGGTAGCAAATACTAGCAAAAAAGCCCTTTCTGCCTGGTTTCAGAAGAGATTGTCCAAGTCCAGAAAATCAAATATAGTCTGGGATTTTAGTTTGGACGAGTCCTTACCAAATGATTGACTGCTACTACCCAGATTTTGAGGAGCTGATGAGTTTCCTATGTGGAAATGAGAGAAATATATTTCATGCACAATTTCCACGTATTGGTCACATGTTAATAGGAAAGTTGTTCAAGAAGGGGGAGGGAAACATTCACAATCTCACTACTTGCATGTCTGGAGAAGATAAGAGCATGTCCATACAGTGACATTCTTCCTGGGAGAAATTTGCATCTGTGCTGGAAAAACCTGTAAAGACATGTAAACTGGAGAGAAGGAAAAACAATCAGGGCTAGTGTGAAAAGCCTAGATAGCCCCTACAGCTCCACATCTCTCAGTTCAGCATCAGCTAATCCAGATCTTGAATTCATTTGTTTCCCAAATGTTTAAGAAATTAAAAAAAAAAAATAAAAATCTAACCATACTTGTTGGTTCTGTGTACAGCATATATTCATCCCTGTGCCATGTGGTGCCGTAACTTCTTGTGAAAGCTGTTTGTACTGCAGTGTATGTTTGTAGCCCATTTCTAACCGCCTTTGACTTTTGCACATTAGGTAAGATGCCAACTGTGGTCTCCCCGGAACTGTACCGGACCAGGTTTTGTGAAGCTATGGACAAGTATTTCCTGATGGTGCCAGACCATTGGACAGGGCTTGGCCTGAATTGCTAAACTAAAGCCCATATTGGCAAAGCACAGGTGGACAATGGTGTGTTACAGGTCACTCTCTTTCTGTGGTCTGCCCAGCAGTAAGCAAGAGGATTCCACACCTGCACTGACCACACGCGTCATGTTGTAAGGTGTGAAATTTGCTTGTTGCACTTTAATCCTTTCTTGAAGGATGATGAGTGGGCCAGTCTCATAGAGGATTTAAGCTGTACGGTACCGCTGAAGAGCACTGATGAGAGACTTTCCCTCTGTCGGTAGGGAAGGTGGTGATATCTCCATGTATGAGCATTGAAACCAACGCTGTCTCTTTCATGGTGGTACAGAAGTACATGATCTCTATAAGTCTTGCACTCCTTAATTGGTGTTGAGTATGAGTAGCTCATGTTTCTGTAGTGGATGTGTGGTATTGCAAATGTGAAATAAGCACTCCTGCCCCATGCGGATGAGTGAAGGAAGAATCAAGTTAATTCTGAAGTTATGCCGTGGTTGCAGTGATCTGTAGTTGACCTGTTTAGGACCCAAGAATAACTTATGCGTGTGCTTCTTTTCTTTTTTTAAAGGCAGCTCCACAGCTCGGATGCCATAACTCTCTAAATCACTACAACTTGTAAGTTACAATACTGCAGTACACATCTGTCTCTGTTGTAATTTGATTTTTAGCAGAATCCCATACAAATGATCAGCATATTGCAAACCTCTATGTATCCCTTCAATCCTAAATAAGAATTTGATTTAAATGTCGCCCAACTCTTTGGAAACAGGTAACTAAAACTGTACCCTTTTATGTAAGAGCTCAGTTATAGTTATGAAGCTGGTAAACTGTTCCCTTAGCAGAAGGCACCAAATTGATGAAATGCATGCTACCTTACATCGACAACTTTCTCCTTAATGAAACCATTGTTCCTGGCAGATCACTTCAAATCCATTTCAGTTTCCAAAGCCTTTCAAACAATGAAACAATGCGTTTACCTCATGATGGAATTTTGCCAGGCTAATGCTTTTCTTGTATTTGTGATGTGTTGTTGAGAATAAGCATCCCAATCTCATTTAACTGTGCCATTCCTATGTAAAGCTTCTCTTCAGCAGTATTAGACTTTTTTTTGCACCACTGAGATGATGAATGTAGTCTTCTGTAAAATGAAAAACCTGAACGAACAGTGTTTTCTATGTATGGTGGTTCAGATATGCAGAGACCTGAGAATCTCTGCATTATGACAGTAAGCACTTCTTTCCGTTTTTATTATTTTTTTTACCTCTTTTTGTAGGTGGCAAACTTACTTTTTAGCTTCAGAATAATATAGGCCAGTAAATAAGAATTTATTTTTTTATGTGAGTTTGAGAGGCAAGAATAGTGTCCTTGGACTTCCACTCTCTGGTGGAAGGACTGACTTCAAACATGGAGTCTGGGACAGTGTAGCTCTTTATGAATTACTCATTCTGACCAATTAGTTGCCTGCTAATGCCATCTTCACTGTAACTGTGAGTCAAAACATGCATTTTATTCACTCTTCCTCCTATGTTCGGTATTTACTTCTGCAGCAGATGGTGGCGGTTCTGTTCAGGAGTGACATCTGGGCAGCACTGAAAGAAAATGACTGAGAACTGAGCTGTTGGATCTGAAAGCAACTAGTACAGCTCAGATCTGAGCTGCTAGGAGGCAACAGTCAGTTATATTGGAAGTCTTTCCCCTTCCCTGAACTGCATTGCAAAGCATTTCTAAACAATGAGCAAAGGTGCTGACCTTGAAGCAGCAGAAACGAAAGTATTCTCACTTCTCATCCCATCAGTTTCTGGGGATGTAGTGGGGAAAGCTGCAGTGATGTGTGCCGTGGAAAGATGACACAGTAGTGCTTGATTTCTCCAGCACAGAATCTCTCTAGTTCAATACAGTGCTCTGAGTGAAGATTACCTCTGGAATACATCTGTCTCTTTTGTTGATATGCACTCCTGAGCTGGTTAGTTTTTTGTTGTAGGCCCTTGTGTGTAATGAGGAATCAACCTATCCATCAGCTCAATTCTAATCATTTCTGTGGCTTTGAATGTTTGTCTGTTGATGTGGAAGGAAGAGTGTGATATGTAGCCTGAATCTTTTCTGGTCTCCATTACAGTTTACGTGTGTTCTTTTTTCTTCCCCTTCTAAAATTTACAGGGAAAAATTTGTCTTGTCTGAAATCTAAGGTGACCCAACCTTAGTCAGTATGTGCAGTGGCTGGTGGACCATGAGTTTGGGCAGCGTCATGACATCTGCACTAAGCTGATGTAGAGCTGGGATGTGCTAGCTCTGTTTTGTCACCAATAACCCTTACTCAAGTGCTATGTAGATGTTCTGTACTGCTTGTCTTCCAGAGTCTCAAGCAGCTGGCTGTAAAAACAACCTGGTCATCTAATAGTGGCTACTGTTCTCCGCTACGTGATTGAATGAGGCCATTGGCAGTGTATGGAATGAGAGAACCTTCCATTCTGGCCAGCTGTTTTGTAGCCTGTGAATGCAGAACCTGGATGTGTGAATTGCAGCCTTTTGGGATAGCAGTCATAGCAGTTGGAGGGGCTTGTAAGAATGATCTTGGTCTGGAATCAGTGGCTAGACTTTGGATCTAGTCATAGGTAAAATAGTAGTGTTAACTGGAATTGGGACATCTTTGGGTGTCACTTAACCTGAAGTGATAAGCGTTTCTAGTTCAAATCCCAGAAGCTGGACAGATCTCCCAAGATGTTCTCTTTTCAGAATAAGAGTTGTCCTTGCATTTCACTTGCTATGAAGCTGGATTTCAAAGAAGAACAGTAGTTTTTGCAGAAGATATCTTTGAGACACCTCTTTGTTAGACCTGTGAACTTGCAGCATATGCAAGGATGTCCTAAAGGAACAGTCTGAGTGTTAAATAAGCCCTTTGATTAGAGTATTTCATTTCTTGTTTCTTGTTAACACAGGTTTAGTATGTGTGTGTAAACAAAATCCAGTTGTAAATGCAAAGACTTCTGCAACCTTTCTGAGTTAGGCTGGCTCTTGTGTTTTGGTCTGTGACAGACATCTAAATCTTGTCCCAGTCAGAAGTGGTAACTTGTCTACATGATGCTTCTAAAGCAGCAAAATGTCTTGTGGTGACCCAGAGCTGCATTCTGTCCCCAGACACACATATGAGGGACTCTTGCTGGTTAAGGACTCCACTGGAGTTACCTGTGGAATGAGTGGTCTGTCCTCTGTGAGAATGACCAGAACCAAACTAATCACTCGCTGGTAGGAGTCTGGACTATTCAAAGCACTTAATGTATCATAATGTATGTATTCCTAATCTATGTTGCTTCAACTGTATTTTATAAAATTGATGTACTAAACTATTTGAGAGTAACTACCTTGATAACTTGGAGAATCAAAATGTAATGTATATAGATAAAAATGCAAATAAAGTGACTAAAATATATTTGGGTCCAATCCCTGTGATGTAGTGGTTATCTTTCTTACAGCATCCCTCTTTCCTGCTCACATGGCAAGGCCCGTGCTTGCTCAGTGTCAATTGCTCTGCTGAAGGTTTCTAGCTTTGTGTGCAGCATAAGCGTGCCTGAAATCTCTGCCTTGTAGTTTGACTATTCTGATGAAGCAGGCATTGACTATTCTGGTGATCTGCGGGCAGCTCTCCAGGTCAGCGCTTATAAAACGTGCAAATAACCTGTTGTACACTTCTCCTGCCTTTCCTCTTTGCAGCTGCTTTTCAACAGTGCTGTGTGAGATAGAGCGTTTTACCCAGCAGGTGGCGGTGTTTCAATGACCCAATTCTTCCAAGAGGCAGATCTTCAGAAAACATCTCCAGGTATTTATGCAGTTTTCTCAGAAGTGGATAAGGTTAAACTTTCTTGGATTATTATTTTAAAAGTGAAATGACTTGCCTTAATTGCTTCATATTGTTAGTACATAGTAACTTTCTTTCTTAAAGCTAAAAATGATGTGCAGTTAAATCTGGGAGGGGCACTTATTGGTTCCTAGACAATATTAAAAATTAAAATGTAAGGAATACCCCTGCAGTATGCGCTATCTCTGCTTTTGCCAGATGAGTTTCAGTTTTATCTGCTACTGCTACTTTACTCTATCAGAATTTACTGCTACTTTAATCTATCAGATTAGTAGTTTTACTGCTACTTTAATCTATCAGAAGCAGGATGGGGATGTCCATCAGTATGGAAGATTTGGTTAGAAGAAAACTGAGTTACTTATATCTTACTTAGGTAGATCTGTGAAACTGATGCAGTTTGTTTGGTGAGATGCCGTGTATTTATTATGCAGTGTTCCACAGCTTCTCTCCCAGGAGAAACCAGCTGTGGTGGAACAGAGGCTTTTTGTTGTGTGGGAATGTAACATGCTGCTCAGTTAATTCATTGGGAACTTGCCATTTATTGGAAACTTAGCATGTCAGCATCATTGTCTGTGATGTTATGAAGATCGTCAGCAATTTCCTGGTAATGCAAACAGCACTGAGGTATCGCTAGTTTGCCTTACAGCGTTAGTCCTGAAGGTGTGTGCTCACATACTGAGTGTGTTTTGGTTTTTAATGTAATCATGATCCTGATTAGTTTGTATTCAAGTCACACATTTTTCCTTTTTTGACTGTGACTAAGTTTTGATTTAGATGATTTGATTTAGATGTGGGAAGACCAATTTGAATAAAAACAAATGCAAGTCTTCTCTTTCTAGCTAATATATTACGGAAGTCCCAAGGACTGTAGATAACCCTGACTGAGGAACATTTGAATTTCTCAGAATGACTAGAATATTTTGCTTGTATCTATCTCTTGCTGCCTTCTGTATATAATAAATTACTTGTGGCTGAATGTATTTACAAATTTACTAAGTACTGTCCTGTGAATATTATGAAGTCAAATGTAAATCCACAGCAGAGAGACAAGTTTGGCATTCTGAGCAGCACTTTATTGAGAAAACAAAGTATTTCCATGTGTAACTCCTATTGTCTTCAGTAATTTTTGTCAGTTCAGAAGCTATGAAAAATAGTACTCTTCTAAAGAACAGAATTTACACTATCATGTATGAGGAGACATTCTACTGTACAGTGTTCGTTATTAAATTAAAAAGGCACTTGCTTTCCTGTTTACCAAAAGATTTGAAACAAAAAACAAACCCAAAACATCTTTGCAGAGAAAGGAAAAGTGGCAATACCAAAAAAGTTAAATACGTCCACAGAATACGTTCATATGTAAAAAGACAACAGTAATGTTATGACCTAATAACTTAAACAGATGCTTCTTTAGCATAATTCAAACTCTGAAAGTTGATGTTTGGAAACACAGTTGAGTCCTTGATTTTTTTTTTTTAATTTTTAATTAATTACTAAAAAAAAAAAAAACAAACAGCAGAACCCCCAAACCTCACAGCCAAACAAGAGCTCTTCAAAGTTATGTTCAGCCTGGCACCACCAGTGCCACAGTATCATAATGTGCCCAAGGGCAGGCATGCTGTGTATCAGTGAACCTATCCTGCTACCCCTTCCTGATTTAACTTTTTCTTAGCAGTTTACCAGACAATAACACATACTTAAAGCGGAGTAATCCCGTCTTTCAACTAGACAATCCCTCATTGTGTTTCTGCATTGCAGAGTGGTTTGAGAGCATTTTCAGCCATAGGCTGAGTGCCACATCCATGAGTGTTCAGAAAGAGCCAAAGTAATGAATGGGTAGGCAAAAGCAATACAGTCCACACTTCTGGCCATCTCCACTGGCTGAGTAGAAGAAGACAGTTGGTTCATCAGAAGAGGAACATGCACGGTTCAGCTGCAGAAACAGTGAATGCCTCCCCCCAAACGGAAATGCTTTCATCTTCCCCCGGTTCAGCAGAATTCATATAGACAGTCACGTGTGCCCACGAACTCAAACTAGTTTTCATTTCATTTATCCTGTCATGAATGTAACTGGCTTTATATTTCCTTATGGTGCATCTTCTATATTCACAGCTTTGGAGTATCTTGAGTTCTATCTACCTCCAGTAGATACCTCCAGTACCAGTTAGAGCTCATCCTAGTGACAAGAAAGGAAAGAGTTAAGGTGTACTAGAAGTGCAAAAATCATCCAGATTATTTTTTTTTTACTTGTATTATTTGATTATAAGTTTCCCTCTCTCTGTTTTGAGATAAGATTTGTTTTGATCTCAGAGAATGATAATGAGATACAGTAATAAGAACAACTTATCTATTTAAGAAATGCTTGTCCAACTGAGATTTTGGCGTAATACACAACTGTTAAGAAGTACCTTCTGAGTTAAAATGTCAATTCCAGTCTTAAACTCAGCTTCTACATTTTGGTGCCTGCTTTCTAAATCTAGTCTAGGGATCACAGTTAAGAACACAGTGCATCTCAATCTTTCTTCAATGCAGCTGCCCTGTCCCATGAATACCATAAATTCTGCTGAGCCTTGACAAAGCTGGTATCAGAGAATACTGCTGTTGCAGTATCCACGGGTGTGAACAACTGAATAGGTAATTGTGACCAAAACAAGACCACAAGTAAAGCGTGCCTGGTGTTACCTGAAGATAGAAGGTTTGTAACACTTCATGGACAAAGAGCAAATATTAGCAAAGTCTATTCTTTAAAATAAGGTATCTTGCAGAAGGCACCAGAATTAAGAATGCTTACCTTATTCCTAGATTTTTTTCTTTTTCCTTTATTTTGAATTGCTTCTAATTTTTCAGTCAAGATGTCAGCAATGCCTTTTGCGTCTCTGCTGTCTATATATTCCCCAAGAATACTTTTCTTTAAAAATGAAAAAGAGGAAAATAATCTAAAAAATTGTTACATTACCCATGCACTACACTGAATAGGAAATTTCCTTAATTCTAGATAAAATTCCAGAGGAGTGGAAGGAGGCAGACAGTGGAGCTCTGGTAGGTTAATTTATGATTTCATGATATGTTTTTAACTTTATTTTAACAATGCTAATTCTTAGCTGCAGTAAGAACCACTTCTAGATACAGTTTTTAGAACTATATAAACTTGGTCATTTAGGTTAAGGAAATCTGAAACAGTTGTTTGCCATTTTCTCACATTCATTCAGCTGGGTATTTAATGTTGTCAACATTAAAAAAGTCTGCAATTTTTGATAGATTTCTTGGATGTTGATTATGAGGTAGGTCACTATTTGGAAACCTGAGAAGCCATTACTCTTAACCCAGTAAAGTCTTATTGAATTTGATGGAATTGTGAGAGTAAGGATTTCTAGCATTTTGTTGTAAGAGATGGAGATTAAAAAAAAGTATAGTTGAGTTGGCTTAAGTATTAATATACATTGAAATACTTCTGTTTAAGATTAATTAACGCACCTAAAGAAGACTGCAATTTTCTTGAAATGTAAGAGTAGTCAATTGCTTGTACAAGAATAAAGGCAGTTTCCTAGAACTATCTGAACACTTCAGTTCTTAAAAAATTATTATTACTAATCTGTTAATAGATCTTAGTCTTACTCCTCTGTAATTGAAGTAGTTTATAAAGGCTTAAGATGGAAAACAAGTATTTTCTATCAATTTTCTATCTTATAAGTCAAAATTACAATGAAACACTAATGATTGCAGTGGAAGTGCATTTCCCTTTAGCCACAATGATAATGCCCACGTTTGACTTTGAGAGACACTTCAGTAGCTAATGCTAGAAGTGGTTTACAAAATCGTTTTGTCACTTGAGTCTCCTGCTCAGTTAAACCCCAGATCTGATTAAGTCTCTAGTTTAGCTGCTGGTTGGTTAATTTCCAACTTATTATTTTTCAGTAACACTTCACTACTGTAACTTGGGTATTAGTAAAATCAATTACAATTTTATTTCTTGAATATCTAAATTGTGTGCTTCAGTGTTACAGAAATAGTCTAAGTTTAATGTGAAATGAGATACTGCTACGACCGGCACCTGCCCAGCAGTGTACACAAAGGGAGACACTTTACCTTTGTTCCTTGGTAGGGGTAAAACTTAACAGTAGGGTAGGCTCTGATATCAGCGCTTTGGCAGGTCTGACCGTATGCCTGACAGTCTACTTTTCCAGCTTTTACTTTTCCTTTAATGGCCTAAAAACAAATACTTTTATTAAAAAGAAATGAAATACTTTTATTAGAAACAAGCTTCAAGTTTCCATGTCTGACTATAAGCAGATAATTTGAATGAGCCAGCAGTGCAGCTAAAAAATAAGCAAGAGAGGTTGCTCAAATCTTTTAAATAACTCATAGTCACTCGCGTCAGTCTCGGCGTCACACAGCCTTTAGCAAAGTTGCCATATGTTCTGCAGAGCACACGCACTTGAATTCAGAGCACAGCACACCACAGTTCCAAGGGGCTCCCAGTCATGGATTGAAGTTTGTCTAAAGGAGGGCCTGCGTGCATGTTTTTGTACCAGGGCCAATACCCACTGACAAAGGGGACCCAAAGGGTAGACTTCTACTGACAGTGCAT